TTCAAGACCGTCGGAAAATGAAATATTTACAAGTACTGACTGAGATTGGGCGTGGAGGTCGTGATGCACGTTCTTATTTATTTTCAATGGCCAGTAAGTAACATTTTCAAATCAGAAAACTTTTTCTGAAAAATTTTTGGTGGACACAGAATCAAAGATCATTGATTGGTTGATTTTGGGTCGCGATTACGTCTTATATAATTTTTTGACGTTGAGGAACATTTCTGAGATCCCTATCACAAGTTCCTTGAAATTTTACTTACGTGTATTGGAAATAATGTATTATTGCAACCAGATGAAGCAGATTTTTTTTTTTCGCTGAGCTTACCGACAGTATCCATTTTCTGTCCTTGAAGAATTTGGGTTTCACCAATTGTTCCACCGAATATAAAAGTGTTAGCAGCTCTTGGTCTTTAGTTCATGCTGGCGAAAACAATATTTTATAAATGTGTCTGTTCATTGCCAGCATGTATGAAGTTGTTTTCAAATTAAATACTAGTCGAAAAATCTACAATTATCTTAACGTCCATCATCCATTGCATCTTCCCACGACGGTAAATCAGGAAGTTAACAGGTTTTGATTTTTTTCAAATAAACTTTTTTAATTTTTGTTTATTATCTTGACGCTTTTGAGTGGTACGGTTTGAAGTCAGGCTTTGAAAAATTTTCAACGCAACCTTTCCAGGATTTTTTTGACTTCTGGAGTGTTCAAGAGTTTTTGAGGTTGAAATAATGTTTTCGAAAAGAGCCATTTGATTGAAATATGGAATTTTTAATAACATGAGAATATATTTATTTATTGTCCATCAAACGATAGCAGTGAGAAAATGTTTAGCGGACGGGAAATTAACAGAGGGGACAAAGTTAAAAATGCGGACTTTTGCTTCTCTACACGTATAGGTTCGTTCGTGAGGATCTCTTCTGACACTGCGTAAAAAGTCGCGTTGAAGAATAATCGGGCTTGTTCTACGAGTACTATATTGGAGGTTCTAGGTATCGTGTAAATATTTCGGAAACTAAAATTGCGTAAGCTGACACTTCCCATTCCGAAAAAGCTTGTCTCCTCCTCGTTGAAGAATGCGTTCGTGTTCTGAATTGAATTTCTGCACGTAAGGATTATTTGCAATCGGCGAATCTAATTGCACACCCACTCTTCCGTGAGGGACTCACTTCAAGGTTCCTTGATCGTATCTGATCGTATCTCCTTCAAAGTAGGAAGGCAAACTTTTCAACAGTTATACTGTACATACGAATGCTTACCAAATACGACGACGGTCGCATCCGTATGCCTGAGTCTCTAAACGTCTAGACCATTGTGAATGAAGCGCTATTCACAGGAATCGTAGTTGTTGAACCTGCCACGTTGAGATTGATGCGATGGGGCACCATGAAGGGCGCTAGACTAGAACACTTTCTAGAACATGCCATGAGGTTCGATACGCCCAGCAAAATTGAAGCGGACATCTGGATTCAGCTGCCGGGAATCTTAAGTTTTCCGCCTATTTTCGTGAGACGCAAAAGGATGCTATAGGCTTTGAATATTGCACTCGCCGGCAGATGCGATTATCATCCGGGGCGAGAGGCTATGTGGATTTCCTGAACGGAGTTTCACAGGCAAAATAGGCTCGCAGCGATAATCTGAGGGCCTATTCCGCATTCTATTCAAAAATCGACGGAAAGCGCAGCGTGGGAAATTTGACCCTGCCCTTCGATTTCTTGATACCCTGGAAATCGTGCAATATTGTCGACCTTGAACTGACTGACGACCCCGCATTTGCCTTTTCTCGAGACAGCTCTTGCCACGTGTGGGCCTCGGCAAATGTGTGTTTTGTCGAGACCCCACGAGTGGATTCCTTGCAGCACGTGGGCGACTTGATCGACATCCGCGGGAATTCTGTCGATTATGTCGATTCATGCCAGGACAAGATCAACTTGTCGTGCGTGTTCCTATTGTCGTTCACGGGCAACTTTACGCCGGCAGGATCAACGGATTCCGCAACTTGTCTCGGTCTTTCGCGCAAATACCGAGGCCGGCATCAGATAAAGTGGAAGATTTTGTACAGGCGTTCTACATCTACGATGATCTCGTTTACAAAGAGTTTTTCTGAAAAACAATTTTTTTTTTGATCTCATGGGATTCTCTCCCGATTTTATGGGATCCTCTATAATGAAATTATATCTTTAGAACACATTTGTTCTGTTCTGGTCCCTTCAATTTCGTGAGAGAGACAGACAGACAGACAGACAGACAGAGAGAGAGAGAGATTTCACGTGCTATATATCGAAACAGTCGTGGGTGGCTAACTGACCACCGTGCTTCCCTGAAATTTTAAACCTAAAGGCATATATTTTAAATGCCATCCAGAATTACATTCCCAAAAATACCTACTTTTAGGGAACGGAGTTTTTGGGTACAAGCATACAAGGAGTGTACGAGAAAAAAAAAACGCAACGGTGGAAATCCTGCGTTATGCGGAACAATTTTCATGAGTCCAAAAATGTATTAGTTTCTCTTTCATCGTCCAGATTAACTGAAACCTTTTTGGGCTGATTTTTTCATGTAATAATCGACAGTAGAACTGAACTTCACTGCATTGTATGTACCGTATGCTTATCACTGGAACACAGCTATTTACCCTTTTGTGCACCTAACTGAGAGCTCCCTTATCTATGTGCCTCTCTTCTGCTAACAGATTTTGATGTTTCCAAAAGTTATGCAAGCCAATCTTTTTCGCATCAGAAATGCATCTCTTGTAACAAATATATAAACAATCCCGAACAATTTTTCACCAGGAAAATTCCTCGTGAAAGTTGTTTACTTGCCGGAAAATATTCGCGAAATGAAATTCATTCAGAGCTAAATTAATATCTTGCCTTAATCAGAACGGTGAATAATCATCCGCGAATAATACGTACAATCTAAGTAATAAATCGGAATTGTTGATCACTGTTTATTATTCTGGAATGCGACTTTCTATTTCAGACATTATTCTTGTTTCTCAAATATTTATGAATGGCTACGTAATTGTTTATTCCGAGAGCATTGCTGATTGAAATAACATCGGTTGCGAGCAATGTCGGATACCTGTCATTCCATGAGTGGAATGGAGACGATTAGAAAGTGATTGTCGAAGAAGCAGTCGAACTTTTTAATGCGAGAGTTTCAGTGAAATGTTGGTGCACAGAATTTGTGTACAATTCCGCATATTGAAGGTAAACATAGGCGAAAATTCTACTTTGAAACCAGGATGAGAAATGCAAAGTGAATTTTTTCGCCAAGATTTCCGCAGCGTGTCTTCTTCTTACCCCGTAAAGCAAACCGTTCACGCAGATGCTTTTCAGGGCGGATCCTTTGAAATTCAATTCAACTCCTAACGCAATAACGTCCAAACTTCGTTGCTGCGCATTTTTTTTTTTCAAATAATCGATTCGAATGTTGAGCAGTCGCATGTAAAGTTGCTAAGAATCCTACTCTTTTATTGGTGAAATTGGATCCTACCAAGCTAAAACTGATTTTTCACCCTAAGCGCTTGTAAAAAAAAGCTCACCTTACGTCGAAAGCAGGAATCTGAGCAACCCGTTTTATTTCAATTTTTACGAGAAATCTTGATCAACTTTCCTATATTTTCTACTATTGGTCAGCGTTGCCTGCGCAGTTCAGAGGCGGTGGAAATTTGCAAGGCCTACGTCATCTATACTTGCGGTCTCGTGTTTCTCAAATGTTAATCTCATATGAAATATTGAATGAGCATCGATTTGCAGTAAATATACATTGTTTTATGCGATTTAACTGCTATTGCGATTATGGATAATTCCGATTTTGTTAGTAAATAATGTGATGCGAAATAATGTATATCATGGCGTGATGTATTAAAGAGATGCCGTGAGCAGAACAATGTCGTATAGCGTAGTGTGGCGTCTCTATACAAAGATTTGGGGGGGGATACAATTTTTTAAAAATATTTTTTAAAATATACGTATATATATTTTTTAAGCGAATCGACTGTGTGGATACTGATTGCCCAAACGCACCTCTTGTATCGTATCCGAGAAGACCTGAAAACTTTCCATTATTTTTTTGAATTTGATGAGCCTTGACAAGATTTAATGACAAGACGAAAAATGATGCACACTTACTGGAAATATTTTTTTCTTTTCTTGTTTCTTTTTTTGTGCGGAGGAACTCAATTATACTCGGTCGCGGAATGATGAATTCAGTCGGTTTCTTGACGCCTTGGCTTCTTTATGGAATGTGCTGAGTGGTATATAATGTATAGTACAGTGTTGAGTTCCAGCTCGTGTTCTATAGGCTCGGAAAATAACTGGAACAAAAACCATTTTCTACCTCGAGACCTCGTCGTCCGAAATCTGCATACGAGAAGTTTTGACAATTTATCCTCGAGCGCTGGGTCCATGATTCCGAAAAAGAAAGGAAGCGACGAAGTCACGCAGAACAGGCAAGTTTCTCAAAAGCCAGAAATTTATGAGCGTTAGAATAATCAGTTGTCCGGGATGAGGAATGGAGAACCGCTGTCGTGATCTTTTCGTGGCAAATAGAAAGAGCAAATTGGATATACCGTGGGAATACATGCATACTCTCGTCGCTTCTTTTTTATCTTTCCGTCGACGAGTATGAAGATGACAAAAAATACTAACTTCCCTCTCGCACATTCCCCAGGGCACATGCCAATCAAGATTCTTGTGCGGCGCAGGGCCGACTCTGATTTCGGAGAAAAAGATAGCCTTTTCAGGGGAAATCTTGGCTTCCAGCTTCCTTCAGGTTACTGTTTCTGCTCACTGCTGCGCGGTTCATGATGATTTCGTTCCGCTTCTCCCACTTTCCTAATAAGTGTCTCTAATTTTCAGTGGAAGAGTTTCGTGGCCTATGCAGCCTGTTCGGGACACGGGCGTTTGGAATCTGTGTGCAAGGTATCTCGCTTCCCTGCTGAGAAGCAGAAGGATCACGTCCTGTTCTTGTCGGTGTGGTGAGGGATGTGAAAATGTTCTCAGTGGAGACTCCTGACGGCGGAAGCAGACTGTTCCTCGTTGCTGCCACTCAGACGGAGTACGGCTCCGACCTTGGGGAGATTCAAATTTGGAGCAGGACGTCGACGTGGCAGGTGAAAGTCTTCACGAAAAGTAATGGTTTTCATTCGCACGCCGGCGTCTTTCTGTAGATGGAAGTTGTCGTTCATTGGTTTTTCGAGCTGAAGTTTCATTCGTCTGCATTCATTGCTTCTTTCGTGGATGCTTTCTCTGTCAACGGTAATCAACTCTAGAATGCAATATTTGGCACAAATCTAAATCCAATCCTGGAAAAGAAATTACCCCTGAACGTGGATCAAAGTCAGCCTGGAAAACACATAACTTTTTCATTTCCTCCAATTCCCTCCGCGATTCAAATTGAACTGAAAACTTTTGAATCCTATTAATAATTCCTGAAAGTTGAGATTCAGTTTTGGAAGCCCTTTTTTTTTTACTTCAGGACACAAAAGACAAAACATTCAAGCGTAACAGTGCATTATTTTTACAGTGATTTATGAATTTTTCAATATCAAAATCCACAAGTCGCATTTTTATTTATTTATATTGTGAACTACGATTTTTTACCGCCAGGAGTTAGAAAAAATTTCACTAAAATGAATAAGGAAGGTATGCTGTGAACTTTTTGATCACATTGGAGGTATGCACGAGGGTTGGTTCATAAGTTTTGAGACTTCTTGAAATAGATCCAATGCAGTTTCAACTTTTCTTTCACTCGCATAGCCCATCACTTGGCAACACGTCAGTCCTGTTCAATGCAGTCTCCGCCGATTTCAATGTATTTTGTCCATGCAATAAATCCAATGGTCATATCAAAACAGTGGAAAACATTGATGGTTGCGTTAGTTGATCAGGCTCCTCTTTGAGGACGGAAATGAGGACGCGGTCATTGTCCTCAAAATCAAAATCTTTCAGATAATTCTTCACCGACAAGAAGTCACCATTTTTTTTCATTGAATTTTTTCCGAATATTTGAATTTTTGAATTTTTTCCCCCAAAAGCCTTAAAAATGTATTGCACAGTGCGACTTCCGTTCCCGACGGTGAATCAAGATCTGAAAGAAATTGATTTTGAGGACAGTGACAGCCTCATTTCCGTCACCAAAGAGCAGCCAGATCAACTAACACAACTATAACTTTTTGCACTGTTTTGATATGATCATTGGATTTATTGCATAATGAAAAAATGCGCTGAAATCGGCTGAGAGTATGTTGAACGACACTTACGTGTTGCCAAATGATGAGTAAAAAGGCTATGCGAGTAAAAATAAATTGGACTTGTTGAAACTCCGTTGGATTTATTTTTAAAAGTCTCGGATATTAAGAACCAAACCTCGTACATGCCAATAGCCAAACTTGGTATTCAGATGTAAGCACTGTCACACCTTGTAAAAGTGCCACACGAAAATATTGGCATGGAAATCATGACTGTGTTGAGAATATAGCCCTGAAAATTTGAATTGGCGCGGCAGGGAGTCAATTTCACAGAAAAAGCATTTCATGACAAAAGTCATGGTTGAAATTTCGCAGGAAACATCAGTACAGTAGGAATAAAAATTACTCAGTGGGGAAAAGTACCCATACGCAATAACCTGAAATACATTTTGAAGCAAGACATGGCGGGGAAAAAATTGTGTTTTGTGTCAGGTATGATTTCTTCCGCATATATACTCGTACACCTACTTTGCATACCCACTTTGAGTAAGGTAATCCCTCGAGGGTAGTATGGAGAGAAATTTCAAGGTGTCTACCGAATTTCCTCCTCGGGCGTGCATGGTATCTCGTCAGCATTTTCTCTTTTTTTCATTTTCTTCTGACCCTGTTGAACGGGTTAGAATCCAGAAAAAGGACGGAAAGCCCTGGTCTATTGAGTACAGTATATTGAGTTGCCGAAAAAAGGAAGGCTATATTTTTCAGAGTCAAGTACCGTATTCATTTGAGTACCATGCACCCTCCAGTAAGACACGCATCTTAGGTTTTTACTAAAATTTTGTGAAGAATCTCATTCACCCATAAGATGTACGAGTTAGTTTTCAGTTACCAAAATTCCTATTTAAAAACTGCCATGGGTAAAAATAAAAATTGAGGCCCACTTGTAAATCGAATCCTGTGGCATTTTTCCTATACTGTACTGCACCAGTAAAAATATCAGTAAAATATATATATCTCTGTATGAATTGAACGAGGGGAGAAAAGTTTCAAATTGAAAAAAAAGGATTTTATGCCCGGAACTCATGCGCACCTTACTGTATATTGTTGCTCCATTTTAGTGGGGAAAAGGTGCTGGTGCTACTCGAGTAAATACGATATTATCTGGTTTTACTTACAACAGTACTGTACTGTACTGTAGTGTCTGATCTCGAACCGGAAGCCTTGAAGTGCCCATTCCAGTAAGCTGCATGTCTCACCCGTGTTTCTATTGCCTCGCAAGCCGTCCAGCAGATCGAGTTACACGGTATTTTATCATGCCATCAGCATGTATTCACGCATAGGAAACACCCCGGTGACGACACATACCCTCAGTTTCATTTGATATCCCTTTGTGGTGCATTGAGTCCAGTTATACGCTTACAGCGCCCTGGACTGATATATGGTCAGCGACAGAATCCTCGTCGTGGCTCCCTTCCTGAAGCTGTGAAGGATTGATTGTGAATTTCCAGCAAAGATGTTTTCTTGGATGTAAATTTCATGCTGACTTGTGGAATTGCTCTTGTTTAGGGGAGATGGGTGAATGCTTCGAGTGGCGTGATTGTGTGTGTTGTCATGCATCTTTCGTTTATTCTTTCGTCAGAATGGGAAACATTTCATTGGTTCGTAAGGAGCTTTCACGAAAGCCATTCTTAAAATAAATAAATAAATTCTGAGGGTTCATCCGTGGCTAATATAGGTTTGATGAAAGCGCCAATTTCGAGTTCCTAAGCGTGTGTGTAGAACTAATTCAATTCCTGAATACTTGTTGCCTTCATTAGATTTGTCGCGAAGCGTTTCTTAAATGTTTTATTGGGTGGAACATGACCACTCCGAGCTTCAGGCCTTTTTCACTGGCTGAAAGCATCAGAGGATATAAAATCGGACTGTCGAAATTATTTTAATTTTTTCCAGCAATATCGTAAGTTTGCTGTAATTTTTCTCTACGAAAGGTCTGATATTCATTTATTAGTTTAGAATAAAGGTTGAATGCGTGTTGATACAGGGAAAACGTTTTCCCACTTCATATCCGTCATTTGTCCAACCCTCAATAAGAACCATTGATAAATTTTGAATAAAGACGAGATTCAATCCTCTGTATTTTGTATGTGTTTCATCTGTTCAAGACTAAACATGAAAATTGGCTCGATTATCATTTTATAATTCATATCGTATCTGTCATTTAGACATGGAAAAGCCTATCTGTTATAATTATTCTGCACGGTCCTTCATCTAGGCGAGTAGTGTCACGTAGATTTTTAGCTGAAATAAATCCTAACACAATAATCTAAGCTAAGATGAATGAGCCATCCCAGGACGAAACTTCCCTGAAAGGAACATGAGAGTTCATTAGTTTTTTTCTTTTCGAAAAATATCAAATGAGAAATCATTTCAAATTTTGTTCAGGTCAAATGAAAAATTGAAAAGTGATGCTGACAGGGGAGACCGGGAGGTATAGGTAATAAAAGTTAATTAGAAAACTGGTTCCTGCTTAAAACTCGATTTCATTTCTCTCTCTCTATGCTTCGAACTCTACATTGTGTTTTTTTTTCGAGCAGGTTTGTGCTAGAAGGTTTCAACCTGGATTTCTGCTATTCTCCTTCATTGAAATCATTAAGCAAGTATCAGGAGTTAGAACAGCAGACAGACTTCGGAAGTTACTTGGAAAACAGCGCAGTGTTCGACGCGAATTCCTCGCGATGTACTTTTTGAAAAGTGGAAGACATAACTTGGGTGTTCGATATTTGCAGATGCTGATGTGGACATTCATTACAGTGTTCTGCGTCGCGATTTCCGTGGGGATTTGCAGAGAGGAAGCAGTGCAGAATGCTGTCATTGTTGGCAGGTGCAAACTCAACTGCATCACTCAGGTCTGATGAGTTGCGTTTTTTTTAAATCATTGTTTCCTTGTCGTAATTAAAATTTCTGCACTGACGCTAGTCATCAAAGGTCCTGTGACACAAAGATGAGTTTGGGTGAAAATCCCACACCTTACCCAAATGTTTTCTTGGGATCCTCAAATGCTCCTGGGCAAAACCTCAAGCAACAGTGTTCTCATTTCGCTTCAGTTTTGTTCCACACCCTTGACACTATTTTCCCCCTCAAATGAGATCCTTATGATTAAGGTGAATGATTATGTTTCCCATCTAAACTCACTCGATAGAGGGCAATTTTAATTTTTGGAAGCTTAGTATACTGCTTTCAATCAAGGCTGGCGTTACGTACCCCACGTAAGTTTGAAATAACTCGTCAGACGTCTGTCCATAGCATCTCTAAAAAGTTGTGCACCAATTTTGCAGGATTTGACAACTAAATAAAACTTTTTCGAGAAGAAGTTCAGAAATTTTGGAAAAGATTGGTTAGGAATTGGATAATTTTTCAAATTTATTGCCAGAAGTTTTATTATACAATTTAAATGAACATGGTCACGTTCGGGTGACTTCATTTGGAGTTCTTATTTGAAACCACATTTATTTTGCATTCACTTATAATGATTTTCCATCCGGATGAGAAACCCTGGCATTTGAACTTATAATTGGTACTCGGCTTCTGTTTCCCCATCCCCAATAATTAGACCAGTCTAACGATTACTGCGCTTTGTTCACTATCCAGGCCTAATGCAAGAAATGTCTTATCTGATACTCGCGTGAAGAACGTGCGATCCTTAAAAACCCGACACACATAATGAACCGACCTCGCAACAAAACAAAAAAAACACGTACAACAAACAAATTTTCCGTGGACAGCAAAAACCAGGAAGCAGTTGACAAAAAAAAAAACATGGGCGGGAGTTTGCCAGAGACTAATCAAGCGAATTCGCTCTAGTATTTATTTCGTGGCTTTGAGCAAAGTCGCATACAAGTTTTCTGATTGTTTTTGTAATGCTCTTGACTCCTGCAGATTTTACCTGGGTGATCCTCGGCAAATGTGGCTTAAAGCCGTATTATTAACAACAGGAGAAAAATATTCTGATGTAGCCCTCCGAATGACAACCAAAACGAACCCTCATTTAAATCGTACTCAAAGTGGAATGAAGCATCCCCAGCATGTCGTGTTGGTCCGCAATGTGGTCCGTTTTCTGTGACAACGTACAATTTAATTATTCCCGACTTCATGGTACGTCGGGTGTGCATTTAGTTGTGCCATGCACTGAAGGATTTCTGTCAGCTCAAGAAGTGTTCTGACTGCTTGTCACCCTTCTCCCATGACTCCTTCATCTGAGCAAACATTCTTGACCAGAAAGAAAAAGACACGAGTGGGGCACACTTTCTCGGACCTGGCATAGTGTAATCTAAATTAATTAACTTGAGGAAGCCTCCAAAGTGGAATGAGCTCTGAGGTACTGCTTGCATGCATCGCTCCGCCCGGAGTCATTATCACAGAAGTTGTTGCGCATCCGACTCCCCGCCGTGACTAGCACAAACGCACCCCCTTCGAAGTGTCTGCAACCGACCTCGAAAAAAAAAACACAGTAATCTCGCAAAAACAGGCTCATCCCGCCAAGGGGTCTTTTTCCCGATCGTATCTACCATGCTCTTGACTGGTCCTTGTTTTCTTTGACAGCTGCTGTTCGGCCCTCCTGACGCGATCGACGCTTGCGGAAACCATTCCGAATGTCGGATTGTAAGTTGCTCCCGATGTCACTCTGCCGCCGCTTCGAATCGCATCCATCTCCGACTCAGGCAACGTAAAAAATGCCTCGCGAGGAATTTCAGCCCTGACTGAGATAAGTGTGGCGCGGGCCCGGGGATTCGGAAGTTCGAGCGGACGGGCAGTTAAATGACCTTACTTGATTCGGTTCTCTGGGATTAATGGGTGGTAAAGAAATTTTATGCATTTTCAGTGCTGGGAAACGTGCGGCGATGGGATTTGCCAACAGCCCGTGACAGGATGCGTAAGTGGGGGTACTTCGAAGAAAGCGTGGCGTGTTTGAGATTAACTGTTATTCGGTTTGCAGTCACTGGGATGTTTGGAAGCTTGTTGGTTCCACGCCAATCGAACAAATGCGATTGGATGTGAAATGGAATCGACTAGGTTCATGTTTCCCTCACTGCCAACAGTACGGGGCCCTCGGATCACTTGGCCCCGAATTGAGAAGCCCGGCAAGAATGCGGTGGATGAACAAGAAATTTACGCCGTGTTGCTGCTATCTTATGCAAATTCCAACTGGACATTGGTTGGACACGTGAGATTTTCCACATTTTCCCTCCGAAAAAAACAGCTGTTTTTACATTCGATCGACGGATCATGTAGAAGTTGTCAACATGAATGTGAAAGATCAACTGTACAAATTCACCATTACGTGGAGAGACCTTTGACATTTTAAGCGCACACTTCGTCGGGAGAAAAGCACTCAGCAAAAATCACCCGATGTGGAAATGTTTCACGGGATCAATCGAATTTCTCCATTCTTCCATGCATCGTCTTCTCAATGTACTGCACAGTATATAAATGGGTTCAATACCCGTGAGACTGGTTCTTTCGCTAGAATTGTTTCCTCAGATTATAGGGGAAGGATGAAATGAGGGACACGAGGGTATCCCGCAAATCCCGCTTGCAGAAGTAAAAAGGAACTAAGTTAGCAATCGAGTCGTTTTCTTCTGGTTGTTTTTCTGCCGTTGACCACGCGCAGTACGTGTGGTTATCACGCTTTATTCCCTCGTAAAAATCGACTTGAAATTATTTCGAAAACAGAATATTTATTTAAATGCGAATAAATTTCTGTGCCTTGCTGATGGCGATCACTTTTTTCATTTTTTGATACCTGAGAAATCATGTGCTTAAAAACATAAACTGCATATACATAGCGGGGTTCATGAATATCAGCAGAATTACATTTTCTGTGCGAGCCGATGAAATTATATAGCACTAGAAATGAAAACTTAGGTTTGTGAAATAAACATTTTTTGAAGGAAATATTAGTTTAAAATATATTCATGTGCAAGTGTGGACATGAAAAATCTGCTGCCCTTTTCAATGTGTTTTGGTCAACGAAGTTAATTTTAAATACAATCTAATTAAATCTAGATTATACCTGTTTTAAATGAGAATTTGATCAATTGGAACCCATAATTAAGACGCCATAAAAACTGTCAAATAAAAGTTTGGATTCCAGAAACTACTAAACTAAAATATTCTACTATATTTGAATATCATGATATACATTCTGTCAAGCCATTATTAAATCAAATTATACTCGGATTTCCGACATCCGTGATTTTCAGTTAACATGAAGTAGACATTAGGTAATCTCTTCTGAATCATCAAGGTTACAATCTTCAGCTGAAGCATTCAGTCATTAGTCTGAAGTGTGAACTGAGGCATGGAATGAACGAATCACTGCATGGGGAGTGGGCAAGTTTATATGCATTCCGTCGATCACCGATATTTCGAGTGGGTGGAACTCGGGAATGGGTAATTCAGAAATATTTCGTCTATATATTACTCTGCAAGATTTCGATGAATGTTCGGCAACTATCTGCTGGAAAAAGACTCGACGCTTGTTTCAGACTCTGGGCACGGAGATGCATTCGGAAGCAGTCCTCGACGCCGCGACCGACAGGATCCTCGTCGTCGCAATGACGGCCAGCGAATTCCTAACTGCCGAAGTGGACGCTGGCCTTCGAAACGCAGTGAACCGAGAGCTGAACGCGGTCTTTGCTGACCTCCTGTTGTCGACATCGCTGTCCCCTTCAGCCGACGTCAGGATGCGACGTCAGGTCTCGTCCGGTCTGCCCGAGCTGCATGATGCTGCACTGCTACACGAGGACATGCCGAGACAAAGCAAGTTTCTGTCGTGTAACGAAGGGACCGAACCACGCGGGGGGATCCCGAAAATTTCCCTACACCGCCATCAGCCTTTTGTTTTCCTATCGTCGTGTAGTAGTCCCACCCGAAGTTTGCGCCTGAGGGCGTCCTGGAACAAAGAAAGTACCAACTTAAGAAGGCCTTACCCAAAGGCGGATGGAAAGCTTAGGACTCGGAAGCAACCTTTCCTCTTCCCGTGGGGAGTAGAAAGGGCTTCTATGCAAATAATTTCACGAGCAGAACCTGTGTCTTAGAACCAGACAAGAACGTCATAATCTGCTTGAAAATGCTGGCGTTCTTAAATTAACATTCCCACGTACAGCAATGCCCGCAAAAAAAAAATGCGACAGCGATTTTTAACTCACAGGAGCAGTGTTTTCCAGCCTGTAAATTAGGTAATTGAGAAAAATGCATCTGCTTCTTCGCTTGAAAATATATTGTCACCTGCGTTTTTGAAAATGTCGCGAAGGCACGGCATTTGTGAGGTATTCGTGAAAAATAGGTGGCGAGAGTAATAGTTTTCCAAAAATGAATGATTTGAATGATGGAAACTTATCAAACTAATTTAAAAGAAAGATCTTAGCAAGGGTATTTCAGTCCGCTGCTGCAAACGTATGAAATGCTTTATGACTAATTAACTGTTGTTTAATACGGGGTTCCATTTTTGCTGTTCCTTTTAGGATGTCCTACCTCCAAACGTGCTTGAGAAATATGCCAAAAAATTTAAATGGCGTCAGATCGTTTAGGTCTCTGGGAAAATGGTAATTATGGGCATAATTGCACCAAATGATTTTACAACAACCCAGTTGCACGGCAGGCTGAAAATCTCAACACCGATTAGGCCTTTCGCTGAAGATGGAAATTTGAGTGTTGTACAGGAGACCTTGGTTGTTGAATCATTTTAAAAGGGAATATTTTTTGCCGGTTTTGGGGGCTTTTGAGTGATTCGATGTAATGAATCGCTGAAGAAAGTAAATAAAATGACATACGGTTATACCGTACATGTACGGAGGGCGTGACGCTCGAAAACCCGATACGTACTGATTTACGCAGCTGATGTGCTTCGAATTCGCCGAATGAGCGCAAAGTAGTCACGGTGGACTATAGGGTTGAAGTAGAGAGCGCAAACGAATTCTCCTGCTCCCCGAAATCAGGACGAAAAGCGGCGGAAATTCGGCGTAATTCCACTTTCTCTGCAGGCGTTAGCGTCGAGTCGGTGCACGAAGCGGCGCTGAAACCGGACATGCGGCGGCGGAGACACAAGTCGCTTTGCGACCTTTCGACGCTGCACGGGCCCCTTTTTGAGTTGCTGATGGAGTATACGAAGTCGCGCTGCTTTAAGACCTAGACCCCGTAACGCTACAGGCTCTGCTCCCGCTTGAGCACGATTTTAATCTTGGAGCAGCGTGAGTTTTTCATCATTTTCCTGTCACTGCCTGAATTCCATAAAGCAGATGGACGCACGTACTACTGTATACCCTCGAAAAATGCTCCCACATTTTGTCACAGCTACACTGTAACCTTCATTATCCGAGGTGGTGTTCAAGCAAGTCTTATTCTAAATCAAAGCTACTGAATATGGTCTGCTCTGATCATCATGTCTTCTGCATGTTCATGCAAAAATTACGTGCGAAACATGTTTTCATGCCTCCAGAATGTGAATCAATGAGAAATAAAACATAAACTGACATATACCGCATTGTTTTCAACCACGGGTACTTTGGAGATTTAGATTAAAAAATGAATTCTCATGCGGGCTAACCTTTTTGAAACCCTAAAGCAAGAGATGAATCACATTTTTTGAAAATAAACCTCGAGATAATTTTGTGTTCACGACTTGCTCAATATATGTATTTTTTTCTACTCTGTGGTCTTCGTTTCGCTTGGAAAAAAACTTAAATTTGTCGAGCAGAAGTGGACGACGAAATTGCTGCAATGGCAACATTCACAACGACAGGGCCCGGAGGCCGGCGATTCCAGTACGTAATCGTCGTCTCAGACGTGCAACCAGAACGGGACATAGTCACCATTTATCGGATGGGGGTTCAAGAATCGGTTCGACAGCCCATGGCGATGGTGAATAATAAGTTTCCGGCACGAGACATTCAATGTGCCGTTTTTGCAGTTGTTTATAGATTAATTCGTGTCAACATTTGCTGACTCGTTTCATTGCGACATACGTATCGAATTTGCTTAATTGAACTGTGTAAAGAGGAGAACAGTCAAATGTTAGTCATGAAGAAATTCGTCTTTCACCTATTGACGGGGGAATTCTGGTCTCCCATTACTTTCTGCCATTTCCCTGACCGCGATGCAATCAAACTCAAGTATAGAACCCAGTACTGATGATATATTCAAGCGCCGAATTGTAATTTTTAATCGTTTTTATTTTAAGTAAAAAAGAATGATTGAATTTAGATCATGATACGATTTCCTTGCGTAGATTTTGTCACATCTGCTGAATGAGAGCGAATAAGAAAATGATGATTGCATCTGTAGAAAATACAGTAGCATTTTTTTGTTTGAAAACAATCAAATCAAGGCTGAGCTTTCCCCCACATTATATTTGAGTTTGTATTGTTGGCCTAGCAAATATTTACGGGGCATTTTGTACGACACCAAAAAAAAGCCGGGTACATCGGTGAAAAATTTCAGATCGAATATATGGGAGAATGATGTCTTCAATAAACAGTTATTCAAAGGTAATCATTACTATATGGTTTTCTTAATGTCATTGAAGATAGTTTCTGTGACATTTTTCTCGCTGGAATTGTATTTCTTGCTTTAACCGACATTTCTCCTCGTGGCTTTATTTGAAATTACTGCGAAAAAATTTAAAGCTGGATTGTATTCAATGCATTTTTTTAAATTGAATAATATTTATTATTTATCTGCCATAATATTTATCTAGAGTGCCGAGAAGAAGTTCTGGTTCAACGGAAAAATCGATAAGCTAGACGTACTGGAACTAAGCCCCAACACATTTGGCATCTTCCCCTCAGTGAAGCAAGTTTCTCAGTTATGGGATGATCCCAGTGCTGCCTATTGGATCGTCAAAACAAATACTCAAGGGATGGTTTCAAAGATGTGAGTATAGTTTTTTAAAATCTAAATTTTCGAACTTTACAGCATGATTTTGAAGTCATTTTCCCCTATTAATTGTTCGATCAGATATGTGAAATTACTGCCCCTGATGAACGACCCCGAATTCACCGTTGTCGGGTATCAGTTGCTGGCTGCCAGCTTCCGCGGGATCCCGTTCTTGATTTTGGCTGAGATTTGCGACCGCGGGTACAGAAACGCTTAGTTCTGGTAACAGTGCCGTTCTCTTGAACTATCGTTCTTATTCATGTAACGGCTTGAATGAGTTTGGGACGATAGCCTCCTTTTCTAGTAAACCAGCTACTGGAAGCACCTCTTAGTACTACCGCTCTTTTTGGCTCTCAAGTCAACATCAAGGTGCGTTTTAAAATGCGAGGTGACGCCAAATTTCACTAGGTTTGAAACTCGTTTCAAGATTTCGGTTCAGAGGCATCTTCCGATCTAACGAAAAAGAGGACGCTTTTCGATTGCGTTTGTTTGAACTTGGGGAGAAAGATTTTCACACAAATTCATACTTGCTATCGATTTTACTTTCACATGTAAGGATTTAAATGCAGAGCTTCTGTACAGCGTATGTCAGTAAAAGATGGATTTATTCGTGAAGATCCAATCAAATCTCCGGAATGGTTTGAAAGAGCATAACAAAAGGTGGTCCAATCATGTTTTACGTAATTGCAGATTCAATTTTTTCAAAAGTATTGTCCTAGCGGCATTAGGGTGATCATTTTCGCCATTCCAAAAACTATCCATTTCAGCTGATTTGCATGCGTTAAAAAAATCATTCTATCATGCTTACGTGGAATTTCAAATTATGTTTGTTCAACCCAAAATGTATGTATAAATTATTATTCAGACGATATAATTACAGGCACGGAATGAGGTTTGAAGTTGAAAAAGTACCCATACAGTAGTATGTTTTAACAGCTTCTCTAAAATCCTTTACTTCCTTTGATACTTGTGCTGATCTTCTGAAAACCAAAAAGAGAACCGGAATGCATATGCTATTACATATCAAGAAGAAATGAAAGATATTTTCGAATCCCATGACAGTCATCAATTTGATACTTTTCTTTCCTCAGCATGTTGAAAATCTGTGATGAACGCATAGGACTTTTTCACTGCATTGCCGTATGGAGATGCAGTATTTCCTCTTTTTTTTATAGAAGCGATCGGTCATTTTCTGGTCCATCTCATGAAAAAATAAATCTTGATATATTTCGCCTTCAGAACTACAGCAGTTGTTGAGCTTTTTTTTTGAGTCGGCATTCTGGGTTTCTTCCTCTTGATAAATTAAAGATCACGTCATTTATCCTTGGTATGCGGTTCTCATGATCAAGCGAATCTCTTATTTTTTGACAAGACAAGGTTATACTTTCAAGTAATAATGGGATGTGGGTGGGAATGATTTGACACCAATTATTATAACTTTCAGACTCTACATCTACACTTACGTTGAATCAAGACCATTGTCACGGCAAGAGAACTTGATAGCAAGAATAAGTACATTGCCGAACTTACTCAAACCCTGCTATCGGAGGAAAAGATCATTTGGTCGATGACCTTCGTGGAGAATCATGATGGCCTCTTTTTGGCTCTCAAGTCAACATCAAGGTGCGTTTTAAAATGCGAGGTGACGCCAAATTTCACTAGGTTTGAAACTCGTTTCAAGATGTCGGTTCAGAGGCATCTTCCGATCTAACGAAAAAGAGGACGCTTTTCGATTGCGTTTGTTTGAAGTTGGGAAGAAAGATTTTCACACAAATTGATACTTGCTATGGATTTTACTTTCAAATGTAAAGATTTAAATGCGGAGATTTTGTACAGAATGTGGCAGTAAAAGCTGGATTTATTCGTGAAGATTCAATTAAATCTCTGGAATGGTTTGAAAGAACATAACAAAAGGTGGTCCAATCAGGTGTTACGTAATTACTGGTTCAATTTTTTCACAAGTATTGTTTTAGCGGCATTGGAGTGATCATCTTCACCATCTCAAAAACTATCCAATGGCACATTTCAGCTGATTTGCATGCGTTAAAATATTCATTCTATTTTGTCTCCGCGGAATTTCAAATTATGTTTGTTCAAGCCAAAATGTATGAAGAAAATTTTTATTCGGACGATGTAATTACAGGCACGGAATGAGGTTTGAAGTTGAAAAAGTAGCCGGTTATTGTTATAGTATGTTTAACAACGTCTTTAAAATCCAATACTTCCTTTGCAACTTATTATACCGATCTTCTGAAGACCAAAAAACGAACCAGAATACACATGCTATTAAATGTCAAGAAGAAATTACAGCTCTTTTCGAATTGCCATGACAGTCTTATCAATTTGATACATTTTTTTCCTCAGCATGTTGAAAATCGTTGATGGACGCATAGGACTTTTTCACTGCATTGCCGTATGGAGATGCAGTGTTCTTATTTTTTTCATAGAAGCGATCGGTCATTTTCCGGTTCATCTCATGAAAAAAACTAATATGTTTCGCCTTCAGAACTACAGCAGTTATTGATCTTTTTTAGAATCGGCATTTCTGGGTTTCTTCCTCTTGATAAATTAAAGATCACGTCATTTATCCTTGGTATGCGGTTCTCATGATCAAGCGAATCTCTAATTTTTTGAAAGACAAGTTTATACTTCCAAGTAATAACTGGATCTGTGTGGGAATGATTTGACACCAATTATGATAACTTTCAGACTCTACATCTACACTTACGTTTTATCGGCGAAAGTGTTCAAAACTGTGCAAAGAATGAACGTACGAGGAAGTCACGTCTTCGGGCTTCATCTGAACGCTGGAATCGACGGAGCGGCACTGATGATCCGCGCAACGCCGGAAAAGCCGTTTCCAGTACTGCTCATCTACGACTCCGAAACGGCGTCCTTCCAAGAGCTGGACGACTTCAAATGCTCCACCGATTTGGTGGTTGGATCCAAAACGACTTCCGGTAATACTTCGTAGGTTTTGCTCATCATCGATCAATGTAAGAATACTTGGATGAAGCGTTGATATGTTTATAGAGCGAAGAGCAACGTGTTCAACAAAAGCTTACTTTCTTTCGTGTAAATCATGTTGCCTAAAGTTCGCTGCACGGGCTTCGACTATAAATTGCGAAAGAGAAGCGACGTAGATGAGTGCGCAGCCTCGTGCATGACCAAAGCAGCGAAGCTAGGTTTATTCATCAATGATCAAGAATATGCCGGATAAATGTATTGATGCACCAAGACAATGCAGTCCACGCATTGCAAGTTGTAAAATATCGAATAGTGAATGAGAAATTTCCGCTGGAGCGGTTTCTAGATTTTTTAAACTAAACTTTCAAATTTTAAAACACCTGTCTGGATCGTATCGCTCCTGGAGGATCCGTCCACAATTAAATAGGATTCGGGATAATTGGTCCTGGGGACCGGGTAGAAATGGAACCCACGCCAATCCGCCCCATCAAGGTAAGGCGGGGCAACCGGACAACCAGCGGGGCAACCAGAGAGGGAGTGCTGGTCAGCCTGGGTTCTGGCTTCTGGGCACAGACGTAGATGAGTGCGCAGCACACACGCAGATTTGATCGTAGTTACAGTATTATGTTGAATGTTGATGAGTTGAGAATGTTCGGTTGGGTTGATTTTTAATTTTTTCTTCTGTTCGCCCTTGGGAAGGATTGTTGTGGGTTCCATTTCTTCTTCGTCCCGGGACGGGTCCCATTTCATTGAGGACAAATTCTTGCGTAGCAGGATTCTCTGTTCATTCTCTGGTTCATTAAATTTTCTCGTTTTTGTTTGCCTCTGTTCATGTTCACAAATTTGTTGAATTTCGCCTCGATCTATTGGTATATTTTCAAAATGTCTCCATCTGTACTGCTCATGAGACTTTCAGAAAAATGAGGCTCAGTTACATTATATGCAAGCCACTTTTTTCTCTTTTTTTTCGGATCGAAATAAATTTCAGGCTCGGCTGATAACGGCCAATATTAATAAATATTATACAGTTTTCGCTTTTTGGAGAAAGGGGAGGAAAGATATTTTACGTTGTATCTCGGCTGACAATTTTCATGGTCCAGTTCCGCATGAAAACTGACGGGTTAGTTCAAATTTCGCCTGGAGCCATTTTTCTTGAGACGAGATGCGTCGCAATCGCCATTCTTCTGAGGAAGACTTCCGCCGTGACAGAATACCGTTCGACATGGACACTGTGTCAATCTGAATGGATTGAGGAATATTTCATCCTGGTTTCAGGGTTCAGTTGCTTGTTGGATTCTGGGATGTACATTGAAGATACGATGTTGGTTGACGGCATTTCATACTTGATTGGAGTTCAGCCCGACAGCCTCGCGACGCTGGTTGCAGTCCGGGTATCTCCCAAGATCTTCGACATTACGAGTCCAATTTTGACTCGAACATCTGCACATCAAGAGCGACTCGCTCAACTTCAGGTATGAAAAATTTCCAAGCACACGAGTGCGAATTTTCACAAGCATTTCTTTGATCGTGAGTTTTTCCCCCAACATGTGAGCAATGTGCGACCTATGCACACAAGATTTTTTTAGAGCATATGGGCTGTACTCCAGTTTTGCGTATGTGGACCTTGCTCCAGGAATTTTCAACATTTTCAGCATTCATTCATTCATGACATAAGCTTCCAAGTACTTCATTTCAACGGATTTCAGACGATATTTATTTGCAAGGACTACATATTGAGTTTTTTTTTATATCAGGCCTTAATTCTTTATTTGACTTCCTGCATTTCATAAGTCCAGTATATAAATCCGGAAAATGAGGCTCGTGATGCATCGTTCTTTCAGCGTAACATCCTCCCAAAAATTGCCGCATTTGATTTCTCTAGTCAGGAGTGGTCTAATAAAGTAATGTTGGAGTCGAAGTCTCGAATAGCTGGCCCTATTGGCTCTTTATCCGGTTGCATCATCAGAAATATAATATCTGCTAAATTTCAAATCATATTGTTAGGAAGTTCATTTTTCTCGGATGATCGTCCTTGCGACGAAAGTTTTGTTCAGCGATTGAAACCCCTTCCGATACCCAGAATCGCTTGTACCCGTTTGCTGCCATCAAGGTCCGTTCAGCACAGTGACGTCTACCATCATTTTTTGTTTACTGCCCGTCTGACGTGATTCTTGAACGAAATACTGTAGTGAATATTTTCACTTTTCTTACGTTTTAGATGATCAATCCACTCTATTGAAGTCTTCGAAGAGTGTTATTTTTGTTCATCCGGGAACATTCCATATATCACTCATCACTTCCTCTCTAGGAGTCATTATCGTTTATCTCTTGAAGGATACACTCTTGAAATTATCGTCTTTCAAAAGCCTTCTGATTCAGAGTTTCATTCATTTTTGGCCAACATAATGAATAGCGAAATTTAAATTTTTCTGACGGTTTAGAAGAAAAATCCGTTTGTAAAATCTTCGACGATCGCAATTTCTTATCCGCTGAAACCATTCTAGGATTTCTGTCGTTTCTCTTTTGAAGGGTATATTCTGATATACTTCGTTTGTTTTCTAATTCGAAGACTCTCATCACTAACACGATGAATGGGATCAAGAGCGAGGAAAACAGGTATGGGTTTGATCGGGACGGCGACGCTTTGACCCCGTGCGAAGTGTTGGAAGCCGTGTCCGACTCGATTCCGAATTTGACGGTAGATGGAGAAGTTCGTTCAGCAGAAATCCGCCTTGAAGCTCCGATCCCGAAATTCCCTACATTGTCTCTATCGGCCTTGACTGCTGTCGTTGTGGAGGTGGATCTCGCCGGGATCAAGAAAAGTTTCGATTTCTTGGAAGAAAGACTGCAAGGTATCGAAAATCGAGGGTTCTTCCGATTTTTCCGGGAATTTTCGTCGCCGAACAAGATTTTACATGTTTACGGGAGCATATAGAAATAATATCATACTTGTGAGATCTTTTACGAGGCGGGCAACCGATGCTGCACAAGGCGAATAAAATGCTGCCGATTACAGTACTGTATACTTGAATAAACGCATTGTTGTACTTATAAAATTTTTAAAAGTTGCCATTTTTAATCGAATGGATCGACCGGAGGATGCTGTATTTTCCCCCTGGTGTTTTCCCCCGGCAATCACCTTGAGAAAATTAGTAGGTTTTCAAGAATACGGAACAAAATTTCGGTCAATTTTTGCCAACAAAAAACCCCTTATACCACCACATACTTTCTGGAGTATTTCTCTGGCTGTCACTGCAATTTTTCAAATAAACTGTTGTGTTTTGCAGGACACAGCAGAAGGAACTTATTTTTTCTGATGCAAAAGCTAAGAAATTTTTTATTAAAATTAAAAAAAGAAATAACCAGTTTAGGCTTGCCGCTTAATTAACAATGAATAGAATGGGAAATCTTGAAAAATTTTGTGGAACCACACAATTATATGTGCAGTACTGTATTCATACTTCACTTATTCAGCGATCGAGGCTGGGATTGCTGAAGGAAAAGTGACATTGGTGCGTCTGGAAGCAGATTTTTTTGCGAACATTTCCCGCTTGTACGTGAATGATATGAAACTTTATACGAAGTCCTCTTCCGGGGAGTTGGATGCTTTCAAAGTCTCGGATTATGTGCTCGCGTGAGTTCAGATTCGGTTTGGCACGATCCACGTTTTTTCCAGCTTTAAAAATGTTTATTTTTCAGTTCGGACGCTATGTTGGAATTTGCAGCCAACAAGTCTTTCTCGAGCCCTCTCAAAGTGGATCAATTGACCTTGTCGATGCTCAATGGAAAAACAATGAACAGCTTCTCGTTTGCGAGCGAGAAAAACTTGGTCTTCTCGAAGCCTGTGACGTTTAGTGGATCTTTGCATATGGGCGGACATGCAGTATTTCGGGACGGCGTGACCACCGCTGGCATTGATATTTCGAGTGAAGCTTTTCCTCTCTATCGATCGAAGCTGCTTTCGAACGTTATTCCGGGTGAGAGCTCTTCTTCTCTTTCATGTGTTGCGCTGGTTGATCGATCAAGTGGTTCTTGTCTGCAGTTTATTGGACGTTCGAAGACGTACACATTGCGAGGATTGAAGGGCCTGCGGTCGTGAACGAGGTCGATTTGTCGCACTTGTTGACCCGAATCGTTCTGAAAAACCAGTCTGACCCTATCATCATCAACGGAAGTTTGATATTTCGCGAAGGTACCGATTTGAGAATTCGCGACGACAGTGGTCTGCAATGTTCGAGGAATATCCTCGTCAACAACCTGCTTTTGTCTGACGTGATTTCGAAAGCTGTTCCAAAATCGTCGTCCTTGAAATTACGACGCTTGGACTTGCGAGTAATCGTCTTCTATTTTTTAAATTCATTTTCAACACAGTTTATAGTTGTCGCTGGTTTTCTATTATGCTTCAGAGTGCTAATGTTTCATACATGAACTTCTGGACTGATGATCTCAACGGTCAGCAACGAGGAAGTCCCCTTCAAGCACTCGCCAGAGCTGGTGAGATTTCGCTTTTCTTTATCCTCAAAAATTGTAATTGAAAGAAGTGCCTTACAGAGAAACGAATATTCATAATGACATTTAATGCCATCCCTTTTTCGATATTTGAATTTGATTGCATTATCTAGAAAGTTCTCCTGTTCGTGAGGTGGAATTATCGCGTACAACTGAAGCTTAGGGGAGAAGAATTCAAGTGAAACTACTTTTTGCTTTCTATTGGCTTTGAATTTTAGCGTTGCTTTAAATTTTAACTTGCGATATAAATATATAATGGTTCTTATGGCTTGTTTTCTTTTTTAAAAGACGTTATTTCATTCTGGAATTCCTTCGATTGAGGTCATTAAGCGTTGTTTTTCTCGAAGTTTCTGCTTAAAATACACTGCAGGAAATGTTCATTTCGTGTCGTTTCCTCGACACTATATCTCTCGCCATTTTTATTGGCCTCTGAATCATCACTTTTTCTCTCCGGAAATGTGTTCAACAATATTCTGCTGGGTTTTCCCTAAGCCGACATGCTCCCTAATCGATATTTCCTCAGAACGTTGTTGCTTATCCTGCAATGCGATGAAACTTGTGATGCTTCTGAGATTCATTTTTTTCTCAATTGAAAATACTTACAGGACATTCCGTCACTGTTGGAGGCCGCCTGATCGTTGAAGAAGCGAAAATCGTAACTATGCCAAAATGCATTTCGAACTTTTCAAACGTGATCCCTCTGAACGGAGCACCAGTTTTCGCAGAAGGAATGTACACGTTTAAAAAAGGATTGCGTGTCAAAGACCATCTGAATGTGAGGCATTGTATACTAACGCCGATCTAGCGTCTAATTTTATTTCGTTTGCGTTTATTTGTTTCAGATGCTCGGCAACCAACGAGAAAAAATATCAAAACTTCAAGAATTCATCCGTTCTGAAATGAATGCTGTCGTGAAAAATCTGGAAATCTCCGACTCTGCGTCTTTGACTGTGATGAAGGGCTTTAAGGGAGAAGCTGTTAATGACGAGAAAGTGTCAACGCTGCTCAAGTCGATCATTCGGAAAGTCAGTAAATATAGTCCCGAAGGACTCATAACTTGAAAATGACAAAGAGAAATCATATGAGATGATATCTGTGTAACCCTAGGACCAGAAGAAGCTCGTGATCGATGCTCCAGTTTCGTTGCGCCAACTTATTGCAAGAGAAGCGATCATCTTGTATGGGACATTCCCGCACAACCTTGCCAGACTGTCATCAAATCAAATATTTACAAGTATACTGACTGCCGAGATTGGGCGAGGAAATCGTGATGCAACTTATTTATCTTTGCAGGCCCAGTGGCATTTTCAAAGCCCGTGCTAATACGAAATGTTTCCACGTACTTCCTCGGAAAACACAGAATGGACGATGACAGAAGGGTTGATTTGGGTCGCGATTATGTCTTCAATCATTTTGTGAACCTCTCTAATATGGAATTCAGTGTCCGAAAGCTCATTTTGCGAGTGCCAGACTTGCTGAAATCCTTGGCAAGTGTATCATTTAGTCCGTGAAAGAATACTGAAGTACTTTTTTATGTCAAGGGTGAAGTTAATGGTTTCCGGTCTGTTTCAGGGTGTGATGAAGACTTCCGACGGAACGACAATATTTCAGAGGCATGTGATCGCCAACGAGCTGGAGATCCGCGGCAACATTCATTCGGACTTCCCGAGAACGTCTCCCGAGTGGCAGAATTTCATCACGAAGTAGGTATTCTTTTCAAATTGAGGTACAGTATTGTAATTTGGTGAATGAAGACTTCAACCTGAAATATTATTGACTGGGGAAACACACTGCACAGTAGTCAGCATTTTGAACATTATTTGGAGGAAATCCAATGAACAGTTATGCTTGTCGATATGTACGAAATAAATTGCAAAAGAAATTTCGAAATATTTCTAGCAAAATAAGTGAAAAATATTTAGAGGAAATCCAGTAAACTCAGTTATGCAGTACTTTTCGATTTTCCCAGAATAATTGCAGAAGAAATTTCGGAAGGATTTTATGTAATGTCACTTATGCGACACCGCATAAGTGACAAGCAGTTTATGCTCGATTATCTGAAGCACGGAACTCACCCAAATGCTTGATTTCAATGAAACAAGCCCATAATCCTGTAAATGTTTACTGTGCAGTACCTTTGCATTCAAGTCAAACAAGGACGAAAATGCAACAATCAGAATATTTCCTCATTTCAGCCGCGTCAAGCTCGAATCGAAGGACATTCAAGAAATTCGAGCGAATATAAGCATTCGCCATTTAGGAATGAATTCGGGGAATATCAAAATGCTGAATGGCATGAGCGAAGCAGCACTTGACGAAATGCTGCAAAAATGTTCTCGCCGACATTCGTTCCTTGGTTCGCTATTTCAGTCCGACTTATTTGCTTTCGTAGGTTTTCATATTTTTTCTTCTTCCCTCTAGAAACCCTGAAAGTACGAAATTTGATTAATCTGGAAGGGATAAACGGCTTGAATTTCTCCGAACTCATAGCGAACGCTGTTAAAATTGATGGAAACGTCATTTTAAAGTCTGACGTCACATTTCATCACGTAAGTGTTGAATCCATTTACCATGGAATTTTTGAAACGTTACCTGCTCATAATGAAAATTTATTTCAGCCAGTTAAGGCAGAGTCGTTTTCCGTCAAGCATATCGATGGTATCCTTTTCCCGTCCTCGCTGAAGAATTTGGTTTTCACGAATAGTTCCACGGAACATCAAACTATAAGTGGTACTTGGCATTTATTCATGTATCGACGAAAAGCGTAGTTTTTATGATAAATCTATTCGACTCCAGGGAAGAAAACTTTTTCAAGTTTCATGAAAGTTGGACACCTGGAAATCTCCAATTCTTTTAATGGCCACCATCCATCGCATTTGCTGACGACGAAGACCAGGCAGTTGACAGGTTTGTTTTCTGCGAAAAATGTTTCTGATTTTGGTTAAATTATCTTGAGACATTTAAGCGATACAATATATGGTTTGAAAGCCATGCAACATTTTGCTGTGCATTTTCTTTTTAATTCAACGTTTTCACCATTAATTTTACTGCTGGGGCGCAATGAACAGCAGTGTTTAACTTTCCTTATTGAGAGAAACACTTCTGAGATATACTCGTAAATTCGTTGTCCCGGAATTTCCATTCCTGTCCGAAAAGGCACAAGTGAAAAAAAGTTTCTTTGGTTCGTTGATCCATTCCAAGAGGGAATGTTGTTTTTCCCGAAAACTCTAAAAATCATTCGAACCAGAATGAGGGTTGCGTCATGAAGAAAATCACTGCCAGCTATCCCATGCAACCTACAGGAAATCCTCGCAAATAGAAAATAATATTGGATGGCGACAAAAGATTCATGTTTGCGGCACGAAGGATAATAAAAATAATAATAAAATGTTTCAGGTGACGTTAAATTTAACGATGGAAGCATCGTAGGAGACTTGGACTTTTCTTCCCTTTCCCTCGATTCGTCAGCGAGGAACTTCTCCAACCGTGAGTAAGAAATCGCGTTGAACAATTATCAGCCTCGTTGAACCCGTATAACAGTTGGGAGGTTCTAAAGATAGTACAGGTGGCAATTCGACCCTAATCCGTTGCCAAACTAGGGTCAAATGCGAAACACTCCATGAAATTCTAAAATTTAGTTACAAAAACGCGAAAAAATGACCAATGCTGGTCGAATTGTCAAATTGCGGGAGGTGGAATTGCGAGGTAGCACATGTACAAGTATTTTGGAAACTGGGGGTTTTTAAGCAGAAATTTTGCGATTCTGGAAAAGCTTAGCTCCTCTTCGAGGAACACGTTAGTGCTTTTAAATTAAATTTCTGGGGATAGTGATTCTTTCCAACCGATGAATACAATTAAACACCTGCTTTACACGAAGTCCTGATCTCCGCAGTACCTTGATCGTGCAGAGCAGCGTATTTTTTTAAAGTTGCAGGGGTATTTTTCTTCGCTGTATTGATACAGAACAGCTAAGGCGAAATAACAATTACTGTACTGTACTTTACTATATATGGTGACGGGTAAAGAGTCGAATCGCTGAACATCTGGATCATCCCTCGTAAGCCTAGAATCGTTTCCATTGCAACTGAAGCACCTTGCACCGTGTACAGGAGTCATATTTGTCGAATCTGCCACGTTGAGATCGATGCAGTGTGGCACCCTGAACGGAGCTAGACTAGAACACTTTCTAGAACACGCCGTGAGACTCGATGCGCCGAGCAAAATTGAAGCGGACATTCGGATCCAGCTGCCGGGAATCGTGAGTTTTCCGCCTTTTTTCGTGAGACGCAAAAGGATGCTGTAGGCTTTAAATATTGCACTCGCCGGCAGATGCGATTATCATCCGGGGCGAGAGGCTATGCGGATTTCCTGAACGGGGTTTCCAGCGATAAGCTGAGGGCTTATTCTGCATTCTATTCGGAAATCGACGGTCTGTGCAGCGGGGGGAATTTGACCCTGCCCTTCGATTTCTCGATACCCTGGAAATCGTGCAATATTGTCGACCTTGAACTGACTGACGACCCCGTGTTTGCCTCTTCTCGAGACAGCTCTTGCCACGCGTGGGCCTCGGCAAATGTGTCTTTTGTCGAGACCGTGCGAGTGGATTCCTTGCACGTGGGCGACTTGATCGACATCCGCGGGAATTCTGTCGATTATGTCGATTTATGCCGGGACAAGATCAACTTGTCTTCTGTCGGCCCTGTTGCTGTGCACGGACAGCTTGACGCCGACATGATCAACGAATTCCGCAACTTTTCTCAGTCTTTCGCGCAATTACTGAGGCCAACATCAGACCAGGTGAGAAGCTTTGAATATTGAAGCTGTCGTGACTGACAACAGTGCTTCCCTGAGAATCAGAAGCAAAGACGTTCTTTTCATGAACCAACCGGAATTAACCCCCCCCCCCCCCAAACCAAAAAAATATTTTTTTTTTTCGGGAGAATCATGGATGATCGGCACGAACCGTTCGAGGAAGAAGAAAATTACACGGGTGGAAAACACACTTTTATAAGGAAATAACGCCGAGGACAATTATATATTTGGGAGAAAATTGACCCTCCGGAAGCTAATTGTGTAATAATCGCGTAGTTCGAAAATTCAGTATTTTAACTCGTATGTGTCGCACTCAATCTTTTTCGGGTCATAAATGCACTCTCAATGTTACGAATATTCCTTGCAACCGATATACTGTATACCAAGGTAAAAACACCTGACTATATTTTTCTTGGTGCAAAGTTCTTCGGGATTGGCTGCATATTAGTCAATCGAAGTGCATCTTTGATGCAAAGATCACGGATTGCTATAGATTTGGATGCCTTTCATTTCATTAACAGATGAAGACGCATAGAAAAAGATTGTCAGGGGAGCAGTGTAGAAGTGTTCAGCGCAATTGCTTCAGGAAACTGCTCGTGCACATAAGTCGGGTACAATTCATAATATTGATCATGGGAAAGCTTTGTGAAAGAAATTATATTTGAACCCATAATCCTAAGAAGAATGGGAATTTTTTCGCCACTACTATGTTTACAGCCTGGTCTCTTGGTACGTGAAACAAAATTAAGATATATTCTGAGAATGATTCATTTAAAATTCAATTTGAACAGCTGTGAAGCGATGGCATGTTAACCTCGCGAGCTTCTCCAGATTTTTTCATTCTGTTTCAGAACATAAATAAAATCTTGAGCTAGTCGCCACAACGCGTATTTATATCTTGGAAAAATGTGTTTTTTCCCATGTTTATAAGTCCGAATTACATTTTTCACCATTCTGATAAATCATGTACACATCTCGAAGAAAGCCTGAAGCCAGGAATAAAGTAACGAGGGTTCATTTGTGTTCTTCCGGTGAAAAATGATCTGTATTATGTTCTCGTGAATGTTTTCTGCTGATTCGTGGCTGCTGAGGAAACTTGAAACGCGTGCGTCATCTACTCGCGGTCTCCGTATTTCTCAAATGTGACGAATGAGGGAAATCGGCATCGATTCGAAATACTGTACTGTACTGGCGCGATTGAACGACGATTCAGTTCTTGGTGAAAAGTTCGAGCTGTTTTTTTTCGATATCATGCAATTTAACTACAGAATATAGACGGCCTTTTATAAATGTGATATGCCGTCACTGTCACTGTAATTTTTTTAAACATTGGTAAAGTAAACTGGCGGCCAACTGAGGAGTGGCAGTGGGCCACATTGCGAAGGTGGAGCCCTTGTAGGCCGGCACAGAAGGATTTTCTTGCAATTCTCTCAATGAAAAGCTGCCCAGTAGTTTTTTGTGGTTGGCCAGTAGGAAAACTTTTTAAAATGATCTATACTCAAAAATTAGAGTTGAAATCGGAAGAAGGCATCAAAATTCAAAACTAACCTCCACCACGCTGCCTCTTACTTTATGACTAATTTCATGATCTTTCGGCATTTTTTAATGAAAATATTCCATCGGAAAAACTTTAATTTCAATAGCATGTAACGATTATTGTGGAGCAATATTTTTTCGGATTACCTATCATCAAATACACCTCAACGTTCTCAAAATTACGAAGCAGATGAATTACAGAATTCAGAAACTAGCCACGCATGAGCATGACTAATTTGAAAGCAGTCTTTACTGCAGTCTCCTGACTAATGAATATCCACCTAACGGTCCCCCTTTTCCGGATATTTTAACCAGCTTAATTCAGTTAAACTGATGGTGTGACAATGTTCTTTTCTTAGTACATTTCAGCTCGACCATAGCAGAACTTCAAAGTCAATTCCATTTAGTCAGGATGTTTCCTTAGTTGGAAAAATTTTGAAATCAATTCAAATATTCGACGTTAACTTGATCTAGTGAACAATTTTTCATAAATGTAGGAGGCTTCATTGCTTTTTTTCCGCCTCCATCCTGCGTCTTCTGTAATTCTGCTGCCGAAATTTATGAAGACATTTTTTTACTTCCTAGAATTCATATGGCTGTCAGGCCAGATCTGGCGCGTGTATCATGTGGTGGACAGCTCTGGTAAAGTGTGTTGTCTATGTCAAATATTTTACAAGTACAGTGGATATAAAAAATATGTAGTACTCTACTACAGTACTGTACTAGCAGAAGAGTACGCTGTACGCCTTTGGTGCTGCTTGATATCCGTTGAATATATATGCATGTTAACTTGTTCCATACAGACTCGAGATTTTTATTTATCTATTTTACTATCATGTTTCATTGAAACTATCTCCACTTAAAAAAACGTCATTTAAAAATTTTAATAATTTACAAAGAACGATCAATGAAGTACACGTCACTGGACGAATGTGTATTGGGGTTCCTTTCTTGCGCAGTGAAACTCAATTATACTCGGACTAGGTTTAATGAATTCAGTCGGTTTCTTGACGCATTGACATCAATATGTTGTTTTTCTGAGTGGTGTGTAGTACAGTACTGTAATCACTTAAAATTCTTATTCCAGCCATGGGATATAACAGGAACAAAAATCACGTCAAACCTCGAGATCTCGTCGCCCGAAATCTGCATAGAAGAAGTTTTGCCGATGACGCACGACCGCTGCTCAGCCGAAAACGAAGAAAGGAAGCGGCGAAGTCACGCAGAACAGGCAAGTTTCTCGAAAGCCAGAAATTTATGAGCCTTAAAATAATCAGTTGTCCGGGAGGAATGGAGAACAGCTGCCGTGGTCTTTTCGTGGCAAATAGGAGCAGCAAATTGGATATACCGTGGGAATACATGCATACTCACATCGCTTCTTTATCTTTCCGTCGACGAGTATGAAGATGACGAAAAATACTAACTTTCCTCTCGCACATTCCCCAGGGCACGTGCCAATCAAGATTCTTGTGCGGCGCAGGGCCGACTCTGATTTCGGAGAAAAAGATAGCCTTTCCAGAGGAAATCTTGGCTTCCACCTTCCTTCAGGTTACTGTTTCTGCTCACTGCAGAGCGGTTCATTATAATTTCGATTCGTTTCTCCCACTCTGCTACCACATGTCTCTAATTTTCAGTGGAAGAGTTTCGTGGCCTATGCGGCCTGTTCGGGACACGGACGGTTGGAATCTGTGTGCAAGGTATCTCGCTTTCCTGCTGAGAAGCAGAAGGATCACGTCCTGTTCTTGTCGGGTGTGGTGAGGGATGTGAAAATGTTCTCAGTGGAGACTCCTGACGGCGGAAGCCGACTGTTCCTCGTTGCTGCCACTCAGACAGAGTATGGCTCCGACCTTGGCGAGATTCAAATTTGGAGCAGGACGTCGACGTGGCAGGTGAAAGTCTTCACGAAAAGTAATGGTTTTCACTCTCACGCCGGCGTCTTTCTGTAGATGGAAGTTGTCGTTCCTGGGGCAGCTGAGAAACTGAGGATCATCAACAGGAAACTAGTACCTATTCTTTTGGCTGCCAGCATGCGAAATTCCTCGCTTGTTTTTTACGAGCTGAAGTTTCATTCGTCTGGATTCCTTGCTTCTTTCGTGGATGCTTTCCCTGTCAACGGTAATCAACTCTAGACAGTACTTTGGCACAAATCTAATCCTGGGAAAAGAAATCCCCCCTGAACGTGGATCAAAGTCACCCAGGAAAACACATAACGTTGTCACATCCTCCAATTCCCTCCGTAAATGTAATGCATCAAATTGGATCGAAAACTGTTGAATCTGATTAATAATTTCAGGAAAGCTTAGATTCAAATTTTTGGTCACCCAAGGTGAGTCAGAATAATGCGAATATCTGTGGGATCAACGTAAGGGATCGGTACAAGACTTTTCAATTCCAAGGATTTTCAAAGCCCTTAAATATTTTGGAAATTTTTTTACCCGTCTACATTTTTGGTTTACCTCGAAATCCGGCATTAACATTTCGATTGCCGAATTCAAAAATTTTTTCATCGCGATTTGGATGTCAGATTGTCCTTCAGAACAATTCTATCTGTACGATATTTAAAGTACAGTGCTCTAATGTATTTAATAGTCTTCTGATTGATTTCCTGTGAATTCGCGAAACATGGCAGTACGTATGGGAGGCGAATCGAATTTCCTCACTGATGCGATGAACTTTTAACGATAGAACGATTTCAATCAAAGAATATTACCTAGTGAATATGTGTACAGTATTTGTAATATATTTTTTTCTCCCGATCGTTTCAACAAGAGAAAAGCCACTCACTGCAGATTCACTTATATCGTGTATTTGCAAGAGGAAAAATTACTTATGCTGGCAATATTATTAAAGAGACACAGTTATTAATCTAGTGACCTTATTAAATTTATGGGCTGTTCCCGTATTGGTAAATCACTTAGAAAGTTATACCTGCAATCTTATCTAGAAAAATGTTCCAAGAAAAATAAACTTCCGCTTGAGCCATCAACATGCAGCACAATAAGGTATCAATCATTTCTGCTCATTTTGAGAAGAAAAAAAATCATGTGTCTGCGCGGGTGGAAATCTTCGGTGAATGGATGCTTTTTTAAAGGAAATTTTGATCTCATGGAAAGTTCGGAGCCTCTTGTTGCATTCAGAGACACTCAGGGAGGATTGACACTTCGGTCCCTGGCTTCACGATTGGATGGGCCTCAAGTGGTGACTTCTTGCTCCCGGACTACCGTCATCAAATTCTTGAAAGCTTCTTCACGGAACTTCCTGGCTGTTGCAGATCAAGAGGACAGCTTTATTCCAGGAGGGTCGACAATCAAGGTAACCCCCGATTTTGTTGCTTTGTTTAGCGCCCGATAAATCTACCTCATCGTCGCATTAGATTATGGAGATCGATGCTCTGACAAAGACGTCGACGTATCAAACGATTCGGACGAGTCGCGTAGTTGATGTCGACACCATGCCTACTTCTGAATGCGGAGATATATGTTTTGTCGCGTTAGAAGAACAACCTAAGGGCCAGGTTTTCTGTCGGAAAGGCGACAGTGGATTCCAAGAAGAAATCAATTTCTATGGATATTCCGGAAATTCGGTGGAGTGCCAGGATGGAAATCCCTTGTTTTTGTGCTCGGTCGATGGCTGGATGCTGATCCGAGGAAAGAAAACTATGGAATTTTATCGAATAATGTACAAGAAATTTTAATGAGAGCCGCTCGAAATTGGCAACATCGGCTGGCCATTCATGCTCACCCTGTGTTTTCTCAACGTTGTTTTAGCAATTGTTTTTGACAGAAAAATTTCGGTTCGTAGCTTATTTATGCCATTAATTGGAATGTTCGTCTTGTGAATCGAAGATTATTCAGCGTACATGTTAACTGGAATTGTGAATACATTTCGAATGTGATGGTTTTCGCTCACACATAAACGGATTTTTCTGATTTATTTTTGAATTGTGTGAAATTTTAAAGTTTGATCTTTGAAGTGTGTTTCAATTCGTACTGCTGTTCGGCGAATCCTGTGAGAGAAACGAATGAAAACGTTTACCATGGTTGGCTTCTGCTTATTTCCGTTTATCGTAGACAGCTTCCAATTTTTTTCGAAAATCTTGTGTCGCATGAGGAATTTCCCTCGTATTTTCAGTAACTCCGTTATTTGCGGGAAGAATCAAACGTCTTATTGTGCAAAATGTTTCATTAATTGGATAGCATCAAATACGTAAATTTTAAATTTTCCAATCGTAACTAATTTTACTAATCTGTTGCTTCTAAATTGAATTAGGATGTGCCTGAAAAACAAACTGGTTGGGGAATTACGTAGACGATATTGAAATTAAATGAACAATAAAATTGATTGCCTTCATATCGAACGAGGAAGTGATTGTGAGATTTGAACCAGCTAATGAGCTGCGTCACTGTCTTGAAGCGGAACATCGAAGAAAGTCGGTATCTATAAGATTTTCTGCATGCAGTCCAAAATCTTGAAAAAAATTCCATGAGAAAATACTGCACCAGTGAAAAAAATTGCATCGTTGGAAGTCCATTTCAGCAGACAAATAAACACATACAGGGAAAGAAATACATAGATGAATGTTGACTTGCCGCAGGAAATATAAATTTAAGGTAAAATTATGAAAGGGTTATGAGAGAAATTATGAGAGAACCTGTAGCAATACAGTACCCGGTATACATTTTGAGGCAAGACTTGAAATTTCATCAGTGTGTCTGATTTGCGATATCATCTACATTTACAGAGCATACGCGCTGAATTAGTTAATCCCTGAAGGTAGCATAAAAAAATGCTTGTCCACCGATTTTTTTGCGGGACAGTAAATCTCAATAGCATTTTTCTCCTCTGTCTTTTTTTTCGCCCCACTGAACATTATATAATCCAGAAAAGGCTAGGAAGCTCTCGATTAAAGATAGCACATTGAGTGGCCGAACAAAAAATCAGACCATCTGTGCCAAAGTCGAGTATGGAATATTTTCATACAGTGGTTAATTTCGTACCGGAAGACGTGAAGCGCCATTCGCGCAACCCGATGTGTCTCCTGTTCCTTATCTCGCAGGCCGTCACGCAGATCGAGTTACACGGTTTGTTATCACGCCATCAGTCTTCCTTCACGAAGTAAACACCCCCGGCGACGACACGTACCCTCAGTCTCATTTTGTAACCCTTTTGTAGTATTTTTAGTCCACTTTAATGAGCTTAGTGTCCTGGAGTGTTCAGTGGTCAACGAAAGAGTGCTCGTCGTGACGCCCTCTTCCTGAAGCAGTGAAAATTTTCGGCGAATTTTCCGCGTAGATGTGTTCATCAGGGTTAATCTGAAATTTCCGGCTGATTTTCGGAATTACTTTCTCTGAGGGACGAATAGAGCGTGCTGTGGGTGGCATGATTAGCATTTTTCCTCGAGAGAATGGTCGCCTATTGTTCGGTCAGAATGGGAAACATTTCATTGATTCGCCAAGAGCTTTCACTGACGGCATTTTAAAGAAACTTTCGGAAGGTTTAGTAGCTATATGAAGTTCACTGAAAGCGCCGATCACGAGCTCCTCAGCGTGGGAATAACTAATTTAATTCGTGCATCATTTTGTTGATTGTTACGTATTTTTCAAAAAGGAAACCTTTCATAAATGTGGGGTTGGCTTGATTGGAACATGTTCACTCTGAGCTTCAGGCCTTTTGCGCTGACAGTAAACTTCAGCAGAAATAACTTCGCTCGTTCTCGGAAGCGTCAAAATTAGTTTGAAATTTATAAAATTTATTTTTCTCCCAATTCGCGGAAGTTGGCGGCATTTTTTTTTTTTTTACGGTCGAAAGGTCGGCGATTCTTTTATTGGCGTTGAAGCAAGGTCAGATGAGTGTTGATAGGGATAACGTTTTTTCCCCTCCCACCTTTTTTTTATTGTTGCTTTTTTTGGAGTTCCTCTCCCTTGGTCGGACGACAGTGGATCTCCGAAACGATTCAGTCACGTTGCTGTCTCCAACCGAGCGAGAACGTGATCTCAGACGAGTCCGATTAGCGATTATCAAGTGACTTGATTTGTTTCTCAGTGAATATTTGCCCACGCAGTTAACGATGCAAGGCGATTTCCGACTTGTTATATTAGTGAAAATTCAAAAGTCTACGTGATGGTGACTGTACTTAACTTTGGTGGCTCGCACGTGGATGCTGGTAGTAATGGAGTTAAAATATGATGTTTCCGGGATTTTATTGCAGCAGCAGTGGAAGTTCAAGCATTGGAAATTAGTTTTATTGCGGGGAGATGAGTGCGGCGATTTTTTACTTCGTTCTGGCGATCTGCGGGGCTGCCGTGTGTGCAGATTCGTCGACTTTGGAAACCGTCAACGGGAAGGATCCGGTTCATGACGCCATCAGCGTCGCGAAATGTCGGCTACGGTGCTTGGATGAGGTGAGGAATCCAGTTTCTCGTATTCCAGAAGTTGACTGTGTGTTTGTCAGCACTGTATTTGTGAGTGTGTCATGTGATCGACTTTCGAGTTGTGCAGTAGGGCAGGTTTCCTTTACACGGGAAGCGTGTTTCATTATTTTTAGGGAATGAATCCGTTTCCGGAGGCGATCCTCGAAATCGGAGTTTTCCATTCAACAACGATTTCGAAGGCAAACGTAATTCGATCTTTCGGAATCCAAGCATTTCATAATCTTTTCAGTTGAAACGAAATTCTTAACCTCCAACTACGCATCAATACGGAATAAAGATGGGCATATGTTCTCGGTTGAAACGATTCGGGGACGCATTGTCCATATATTCTGTACAGTCGATGTTGCAGACTCAAGCGAGCATGGTTTGACGGAGTCTGCGTTACTTCCATAATTGCTGCAACTAATGCATTTGTTAAATTGTATGAATAACTTGAAAATTTTCAATCTTCGCAATTCGTGAGATTATTTTAGTTTGAAATATGCCAGAATTATTGAGTACAGTTGCTCTCGAAAGTTTTTATGAGCAGCGTCTTAAATTAATTTTTAATCTTTTGCCAATGCAGTATACGCCTTCCGTCATTAAAAAATATTAAATCCCGCTTTCGCTTGCTGCATTCGATAGAAATTTGACCTAAAATGTCCCGCAAATGATTAATTTAAAAAGAAAAAGAATGATATGTTGATGTTATTAGTTGAGGATATCACGAAATAAAATGGTACAGTACAGTATACAGTTTTCTTGGATCCGGTATGATGGCATTTTTGACGACCATATGAGTGTGATGGCACGAAATCCATCATAGCCTCCAATATGTTGAAGGGCTCATTCCGAGTTTTTTTTTTTCATGCAAGTAATCGGAAGGTTTGTAGAAGCCGATTGAAAATACTGTACAGCATTTTATTTGGCCGATGTGGTAAAGGTTTTTTTTTTAATATAATGAAAAATTTTATTGAATGATCATTTGTAAAGTTTTCCTAAGATTTATCTATGAAACGCAACTTTAACCCTTGATGAAGTTCGGGGATGATACCGTACATGCGGAATTAGTTCGGAGGAATTATATTTTGTACTACGAGTACCGTTATGAGTACTATACCGTAGTGTAATTTGAGTAAGTCTGTTCAGTTGGAAGAAACAAGAGATTTTTTTCATGAACCCGATATCTTTTTTTTCTCGTCAATGTATCAGTTTCATTGCTGTACTTTTAGAAACGAGCAATTATGCCAAGATTTGTCCGTGACCTTCTCTCGAAGAAAGCATGGGAGAACACGTGCTATGTACTGGGATATCAAGTGAAGCCTTTCGCCGCAAGCTTTATTGCTTCTTCGGCGCCAAATTGAGCTTTGTTTCCCATGGCGCCATTTGAAAGAAAATCCCTTCTATTCAACGTCCAGTTAGAATAACATTCAAGCAGTTCGGGTCATTCACTGTTGGAAACCCTGCTGTTTTCAATAGAACCCACCCTGTCTGTCTGGGCGCTGACAAAAGAACACGCGACCCTCGTCGCCAAATCTCCGCCGCATGTTGACGTCTGGTTTCCAAAATGCTCCTATTTGTCGATCTACCTCCCAGCAGCACATTACAGCTTCGACGGGTCCGTGTCATAATGCTGACGTTGCACCTCGAATTGAAAAATGTGGCGCGTGTTTGGGCGTGATTTCTATACGCACGAGTACCGTTTGGCGTGTTTCACGTCAGCACAGCTGTTTAAAGGCGTGTTGTTTCTTCAACTTTGTTTCTGCCAGTTCCTCGGCAAGGAGAACGGAGACCGCGTGGACGAGCAAACTTGCGAAGACAACGTGGATTGTGCTTCGGTAGGTTTTCTCATCGTTTCTTTTTGGCAGGAATGAAACGTGAGATCATTTTCATTATTTGCAGTGCTGGAAGGTCTGTGACTACTTGCAGAAGGATTTCAAAACTTGGGGAGAGATGTGCATATTTCCGTTGAAAATCTGCGTGAGTACTGGACTCATTATTCTCAAGTTATAATCATCCGATAAATCTTCAGTTCAAAACATCCCATTTACAGGTGGACTCTATCCACAAGGATCACGTCTAAACGATTTTCTCTGTATAACGAATTTATATTTGGTCCCATATGGTTCTCTTCCCATGTACTTGTGGGGGTTTTCTAGAACTAAATTATCTCTAGAACGAATTTTTTCGTCCCTTGAATTTCCTTGTAGAGAGAGTCATCTACCTGTATCTTCTGTTTGAAACATCCAACATCTTCAGTTCAAAATCACGGTTACAGTTTGTTTTAATAGCGTATTAGATTAAAAGTCTTCAGTTCCTTAACTACTGAACAAGCTGATCGAAATAAAGCTTCGTAAAAATTTAATATATGATTGAGTGTCGAGTGTAGCTGCTGGCCACGAAAATGATACATATCAGGATTTAGTTTGATGTTGAATAGAAAAAAATCGCTCGAAGTTGAGAATAGATTGTTGCATAAACTTTTTGGCCGATCCGTGATTTCGAACGGGGGTTATAAATTGAACGGGCCTCAAGAGCGGAAATTCCGTTCTGTGAGGCCTCCAGGAACAGCAAAAACCTACTTCTTCTTCATCATTTGGAAAATACATTATTATATATTCGCAAGGACTACGCCAATGTAATTATTTAATTTTATTCCTAGATATTTTCTTTTTAGCCTTGGTCACACCCAGGTATTTTTGGGCGCAATGATTACCAGCAAAAAATGGGTACTCGATATTTTGAATACGCATTTCTTTCCCGGTTCCTTTTGCTGCTGGTTGACCTCAATTTATACCTTTTTTCTATCAAGATTTATAATATCCGGTTGGTTTTTTTTTTCTTCTTTTAGTATGATGGTTGCATTCAGGCTTGTTTGTACCACTTGGATCAAAGTCTGTCCGTCCGATACACTGCGACTCCTGTCATCGACGGATACGCGTTCCCTGGGAATCCATCGGTCACAGGGCGGCAGGTTCTGTGGGAAAGGGTTGTTGAAACAGAAAAAGCTCCTTCCCGTCGAAATTCGGCCGAAAGGAACCGCAAAACCATTTACAGCGTATTAGTGTCTCCGAAGGACGGAGAATGGATTCTCCTCGGTCAAGTGAGTCCATTTTCCCCACTTTTTTTACGTTTGTTTTTCGAAGTCGCGCATCAAAAAGGGTTTTCCACGATGACACTTTGATTGAGAGAAAAATCACCATGAAAATATCGGTGTGGCAAAAAGGTTGATGAATCATATATGCGGGCGTCATAAAAGAGCCGAACTTGAGAAAATTTTCTCCGGGATTATGTAAGTTAATTCTCAATGTTCTTCGAATTCATGCTCAGATTCCAGTAATTCAAACATCACGGAATAACCTTAAATACAATTCTGGCCCTCGGTCGCGCATCTTCCTGGTAAATTTAATCTCTTTCTTTCGAAGAAAGAATTGTAATACAGTACTTTCATCTTCCTTGAACAACTTCATCCCATGGAAATGCAGGTGGAATGAAAATTTTCGCGGAAACGCTAGTCATTAAACTTCGTGATACAGTATTTGATTAATTCGAAGACCTGTGATCTATTCGAAAATCTACAGTGCTGTGTTCCCCACAGCTGCTCTTCTGACCTGACATATCCTACAGCAATTTCAAGTAAGCTACAGTATTTTAATTATTCCTTGCCAATCCCCTTTTTATTCACTCATGAAATTCTCCTGCGTAATACAGTATATTTTCTTTGCCATTTTTTTCCTATTTATCCACCATATGGAATCTTTTCATATTTCCTTAAATATTACGTTCCAACTACCTTTTCTCACATATTTGATTCTTGGTATTCTTTCTCTCGAATTTCCTTCGCGATGACATTTTCCCATGGCAGGAATTCTTTAGATCCTGAATTCAACTTCGTAATTGTCAAAGACGAACATAATTCCATGTTCTTGTGAGGTTCATAATGCTAAAATAAATCCACCGCCATTAGGAAATGCTTTGTATGAGTCTGACAGTATGATGATGATTCTGCAATAATGATCAACCGATGAAAAATAGCACTCTGAATGCTCGTAGTTCATCACCCGAGAAAAATAATATCTTTTAAATTTTTCTCCGATCGATTCTCTACAGACTCTGCGAAACAAGCTGAATATTGAATCAAATGAGAACCTCAACAACGGACGCCTGAAAGTGATGGTGGTGGCTGTGATGAAAGAAGGAGTCGTCGCCGTGGGACGTGTGTCTTTCATTTACTCGTCTAGCGACCGAGTGGCGGAAGAAACAGGCGTCGACTTTGCGGACGCCGAACCCAAACTCCGCCCGAACGGGTTGCCCTGGAGTATCCCGATGGCGTCGGAAATCGGCACTGTCATGGACGGGCCGCCGCCGGGCTACGACGCCTCCAGGTCCGCCGGGTTCTCCGGCGTTGTGAGCCCAGGCGGGCCTGGCGTCCTTTTCGACCCCCAATCGTCACTGCCGACCCGACACGAAGCTCATTCCGTGGTAAGTTCCGTTGAAATATTTGCGTTTCAATAACTAAAAGCGTTTAGTTATTGTTTAGATTAGGAATCACGAGATATAAATTTGCACTTTAAAGATGCCGCGAATCCGTTTCGTTTTTGTTGTTGTTTACGAACTGTTCTTCGAAATAATTTTCTAAATGCCTTGTATGGTTGAATTTACGCTTTACTACCAAAGATCTATGCTGCTGCGTCGCGGATTTTCAAGAAGTTCGCGCTAAATGATCTCCACTGATTCAATAGATTTGTGGTCAAATGTTCAGTAAACCGACGAAACACCACAATATTGGATGTTGAAAGCACATAGTGTAAAGTTTTTGCGAGAAATATGAGAAAGAGGAATTCAAATTCCTAGCATCATCAGGAAAAACCGCAGAATTTTTTTGCCTGAGGATACGAGGGTTTTTTCATAAATCTTGGGACTATTTGAAATACACCCAACACGGTTTGCTCAATTAGTTTTTTTTTTTTTTGCTCACATAACCTCGTCACACGGCAACACAGTACTGTTCAACATACTCTCCGCCAATTTCAATGCACTTTTTCATTAGATAAATCCGATCAAAACAGTGCCGAAAATCAGATTCAGACTGAAATTTTCCTGGCGGCACTGTTTTGATCGTTGGATTTATCTAATGAAAAGTGCATTGAAATTGGCGGAGAGTATGTTGAACAGCACTGAAGTGTTGCCTCGTGACGAAATTTTGTAAGTAAAAGAAAAATTTAATTTTTCAAACCGTGTTTCTATTTGAAATATTCGCAAGACTTATGAAACAACTCTCGTACTATTTTTTTTCTTTACGGCGGTTGGATTTGTGCCTTGTGTCTGGCGAAGTGTAGGAAATCATTGGCATACTTTGCAAAATGAATGCAGGTTTTCTCTCTCTCTCTACAACGAAATCCAAGGGGCCAGAAAAAATTCGTTGGAGAGGGAATTTTGAAGGTAGAAAGCCGCTTTCAGATGGGAGAGGACCCAATGGCTATGGGACCAAAACAGATAATTCGTTATTCAGAGAAAATCGTTGTAGAGAGTCCACTTGTATTTTATTTTCAAGCTGAAGCTGAGGGATAATTGTGGCTTCTTAGGGATGAGTTTTTTGTGTGTCTTGTTTGCGTGTTAGTTTATAGTGTTGAAAGTATCTCACTGCGTCCTCACGATGTTAATCTCGTTTCTGAAGTGTGGATGTGTTTCGTCGCTGAGATGATGTCGGGTTTTCTTGTTACATTTTACGATTAACACCCATGTACCCTCTGTGTTCTGCAACAATTCCGAAAGTATGCATCACGTTGATTACTCCATGAAATATTTCCGTGTTTCTTCATCCATTAGCACTTGAAGTAACGAACACCATAGCAATCGAAAAGTCTCGTTCATTCAGCCTGAGCGTTTTGGAAATTCGTCGCAGTATTAGTTTCTCGGAAGTAAATTTACATTCTACGTGTTCATTTGTGCAGATAGTTGTGGTTTTAGACCAAAAAAATCGTGTCTGATTTGTTCCTGAGATGACAAATAGAAAAAAACAAACCCTCTCTTTTCAGCCCACGACACCGTGGAACTGGAATCTCGTACCCAAGTCGGTGACAATGAACCCAGTCACCAGATCCATCGACGCGGTGATCACATGGAACCCGAAACCCAGCCAGCAGGGTGAATACATGATCACGTGGGAAGTCATCAAGGAAAACTATGGGGTCAAGGGTCACTTATATACGCGGAATTCCACCATCACCCTTTTCCTCGCACCCGAAGAAGTCTACCGAGTTCAAGTGAGATTTCTCTGCTTTTTTTTTATAAAAAAAAAGTTCTGAAGGTATTTTGAATATACAGTACAAGTACTTTACAGTATATTGTATTTTTTATCGTTCCAGGTGGAGTATATTTCGCGAGCTTTGCAAATGTCCGAAGCCAGCCCTGTGATCCACGTCGACACTAGGAATATCACGTCACCAACGTTCTGGACCCAGGATATGGCCAAGCAGGCTCCTTCGTCGTTTTTCAAGAACAAGGTATCCATTCGTACTGTATTCCCATATTAAGGTTGCATTTTAACTTCAATATTTGAAATCTCTTACATCAAATTGATTATATTCATTTTCATGACACAATATCCGTGAAATTGACTCCAGCTGTGACGAAGAACGTTATACCATCATATCATCCTCAGAAGTAAGGTTTCTGTAGCTTCTCTTAATTATTTGCAAAAATTGGTGACATGGAACCCGAAATCTGAAGATTTTGAATATTGCAGTGCTGAAAAATTTTTTCTGCGCTTATGATTGGTGAAAGTCAAGCTCGAATCTCCATATTTATTATTATGATCGCGAAATTTCGTGTAGATCCCATCGGTTATTTTGCTCGAAATGCTGGTATTTGCGTCTGAAAATTCAAACTTTTAGGATTTTTGATGTAGCAAGTAAAAGTTACAACTGGAATATTCATCCGCATTTTGGCCGAGGAAGTTAACGAAAAAAATAATTATCTGATGGTACTTTTTCAAAGTAATTTTTATTTTCGATCGCCGCAGTTCGAAGTCACGATCATGATCCTGGTTGGATTCTGTGCGTTGGTGCTGAGCTTCATTTTCGCTATAATTCTGCGGATGAAACGGAAGCAGTTGCAGCGGAACTTCAGAGCTGATTGCCGTGATGGAAGAGATTCCACAGCAACCCTAGAAAATGTGACGCATGAGTTCGACCGCGCAAAAGCGTCTTTGCTCAATGACCGGATCCGACACAGCACACCCATCACTGTCTCAACTGCCACGAGCCCATTTCCCTTTGAAGACCCCTTGTTTCCGAGTCAGTAGAGCCTCGCTTTTTCTGTTTTGATTGGAAATCCCTCTGCGGGACCTGACTGATGTTCTCCGACTTCGAATGTGACAGGGGTGTTTCGATTCCCGTCGGTGCCGAAGATCACGAAGGCGGACCCTTCTTGCAACGAGGTGTTGCTTGGAAAAAGCCCCAAGACCAAGGACGTGGAAGCGGATGTGGTGTTGGGTGCTCAAGCTTTGAACATGAACCAGAGCATGCCTAATATTTCGCCGGATTCGCTGGAAACCCACCTGACGCGGTTTAAGAACAACTTTCCTTCGTCACGGGCGAGTGTCGCTTTCGACGTTGCCTTCGAGGCGTCGGCGCCCATCTCTCCATTGATGAAGCTGAAATTCCCACCAATTTCCAGTGAGTGATGCAGTATCTCCTTTTGGTATGTAATCCATCGGAGGACAAATGTAATCAACGTTATTCATCCGTATTTTAAAGCTTCTGCACCTTACAATTGATCTCATTTTCGATGATGAAGAAGAATGTGTAAAAGCAAAAGTGACGTTATTCTTTGACGGCGATGTGGGTCTAGACTCCAGAAACTCCCTTGCGTCGGGTGAAAATGAATGAGAAAACGATTTTAGATTCAAGATCATTTTCTTTTCACGTGTTGAGAGAAGCCAAAGGCTGTGTATCGGAATCAAAGGTACCCTATATACCGCATCCCTCGGAGACTGAGATTAAGATAAAATTTCGAAAATCTATAGATTTAGTTAAATGCTTCTGTCTTTCGAGGCTTTGTTTAAGGAATTTATGAAAATTTAATTAGAATGAGTAAAATTTAAGCTTCTGGGCACATCTAAATGTCACAAGAAAACTTCAGTTTCTTCTAGATTTGTTTACCTCTACATCTGTTCGTCGGAAAATTCTTAAAATTTGGCATACAATTTTCGGATTCTTCTGGAATATCACGGAAACCACGGCGAAATTTGCTTTGACCAACTGCTCGCACGTTCCTGAAAGCCTCGTGTAACTTGGGTGATCTTCGGAAGAAACCCTTTTAATCTCGTAGAAAACGTTACGTAACTTCGTCCTGGTACATTTTATTCAATTGCCCTTGTTTACTATACTAATGCACTTAGAGCCATGCATGTGGATTGCATTCGAACGGAAATGAGTGAGCTTTACTTCGACTTTTTTTTCGCAGTTGTAATTGAAAACCTGAAATCATTTAGGAGTTTTGGGAAAATTTCGTGAAGATTTGGTCATAGTCTATCTTTTGCACAAACCCTGTAATTTAGCGGGAACAGGTAAAGCATGTCTACAGTATTCCGGTGGAGCTAGGTGTTCTATTTCATGCATACAATCCTACAGCTTTTGATTTTAATGATTTCACTCTTTTTGGTTTTTTGACAGAGCGCAAGATCTCAAATACGACGGAAAACGTGAATGCGTGCACACGTACAACTGCATTCACGTCACTGCAAGCTATCAATGAGATGCGAGAGCTGCGATGATGAAATGAATTCGTCGTACAATCGTCAGTGCAGTCAAATCACCCTGAAATTTCGGCGATGTTCCTTTCCTACAATATGGAAATCATCGTCGACGGATGTTCCTACTTTTTGCGTGGCTGTGCTGTTTAGAACGGAACCAAGTCGTTTCCAATTCGTTCCGAATGCTTGGATCCATACGAGATATTTGCAATGTAATTTTAGTCATCGTGATGTTTTTACTCTTTTACGAAGCAAACAAAAATTGTGTAGATGTGTTTTAATGAGTTTTTGCAGCCGGTTTCCGGCGCAGTTCGCGTTTTAATCGCCGTACTCGGGTCAAAAGGCTCGACAAGTGATTTACGTATATTTCCTCGGCGGCGCCACTTCGACTGTCGCTTTTCCTTCCACTGTCGCCATTCACGGCTGCCGACCGAAATTGAGCTCTGGGATATGTACACTGCTGAGGTGCGAAAATATTTTAATTTAGAAACGAGGGGTGGGGTATGATTCGATTTTGCTCTGTCTTGTTTCTCTGTCTTTTCTGTCTTTTTGACGACGAGATGGAGTATGATCCGAAACTTTGTGTTTTTTTTTCTTTTTTGACACCGATACCTGGTTCATTCTTCGAGCGTTATATGTAGCTTTGATCGCAATCGCTGAGGTCATTCTGGGACTTGATGGTTTTTGTTGAATTGCTTCGGGTGCGAAATGCGAATTGAAGTGGGATGCGAATCGTTTCGTGAGTTGATCAGTGCTCATGAATCCGAATGAGCTGATTTATCCTGTGCTCAAAGATATGTACTGGGCTATTTTGTTTTTCTCAGTCCTCTTATTAATGCTACGTCCAGTTCCATTTAAACCAATCTTTGTGTGCTCGATTTCTCTTATCTTTCGTTGTGAACTGAGTCCTTCCTCCGCGTCGCGGAATGCTCATTGTGCCTACTACAGTATATAGCCGGTCCAAACTTGTGCAATTTGTAACTTTAGTTGCCATAATCCTCGGTTCGTTTGTTCTTGTACATTCGAAATGCCTATGTGAACGCTTCTACATGAATAAATTCCTGTCCTCATGATCAGCAGATAAGCGTTTCTCCTCATTATAATATGTCGATTTTCTTTTCAACTGTAGCGACACCTGTCCTAAGCTTGCGGAACAAAGAGTTTTTGTTCGTTTGACAGAGCGTGTGATGTCCTCACATTTCCCCTCACCCTTGTATCACGTACAGCATACTGTTTTAGAATGGTGAGGAGAGGTGATTCTCAACTATTTGAGGAGCTTACGGGAGTGAACATGCTTAAATGAGTCTGGTATGTGTACGCGTTTGTAAGTTTTACGTGAATAGATCACGGACATCTTACATTTCCTGATACAATTGTTTTAGTCAAGTCAAGTGAGACCTTCAGTCATATTTGTTTTGTGGCTGGGATCCTGGCTTGACTGTTCTAATTATCTGGCAACCGTACAGTTTTGGTGTTTCAGGAGATTGGCATTCTTACTCCACAGGTGCTCTAGCGCAGTATTCAACCTTATCGGACCAGCAAATTTCCGTAAATATGTTCGCGCACAATCAAATTTTCATAAATTTGTTTGCGCACCAGCAAAGTTCCGAAAATTGTTGCAGACTATCAGAACGTTTTTAAATACCTCCCACAAAGTCCTCCAAACGAAGCTTTTATTGCAAAAAGTATGTCAGCCAATGAAGCAGCTACAGAGGAATGTCTCCCTAGAAATTAGGAAGTGTGGGCTTCAAGAAAGGTTCCCCTGAATGAAAACTTGAAATAATTCATTTCAGCCGGTGACAATTTTTCTGAAGTGTTATTAGGAGAAATGCCAATCTCTATTTTTCGTCAGATAACTTCAACTGCCATTGTCTTTCTAAATTTTCTGACAAAGATTAAAGACTTCATTGCTAACAGCGATAAAACTACTGTAAGATTTTCCGGCAGTTGGCGAACATTTTCTGCGGACCACGGGTTGCAGACGACTGCACTAGCGTGGCTGCCAGAGCCTATAATTTTAGAATGGGAAAGGCATGCACAACACAGAAGACTAATCGGGAAATTTTAGACACAAAAATGGACCTTGGTAGTCATATGCCCTGCAGCAGTGAACCAACGTCGCATCCATCTGGAATCAGTGCACAACAGAGATGGCAGAAAGTATGCAATGCGTCTGCCATATTTTGCAGAAGTTGAGCGAGAAAGACGTCCAGAATAATCGGCCGCTCCAAACTCTTTCACGTAACATTAGCTTGCAAGTATTTTGCAAATATTTCTAAGTATTTTAATCCCATGAATAAATTATTAAAAGTCTACGAACTGATATGGGCATCATAAATTTAAAAAAAACCCTTGAGGCACTTTTATGTGCAATTGCAGGGAGTCCGCAGAAAGAGAAAAGCCTGGCCCTCACTTGCTGATTCAACGAGGCGGATTAAACTTTTCCGAAATCTTTTGATGGCATCTGCTGGTGTTGTTCAACGAATCCTTTTTTCAATATTGCCCGCAAAATATTCAGAAGAACTTTGATAATGGCTTATCGATTCAAAATGCAATTTACTGTCAGGCCAAAATGTAAATGTATCAAAGAAAGAAGGTGACTTATATTTTATAATTTTGACGTGATCCACTCTTCTCGAATTGATTTCCAAATTCGCTTACAATCAAAATCAACATGCGAATGACCAGGAAGCTAAAAACACAACAATTTTAAATACACTGTATTTGATCCCAAGAGATAACCGAACAAGTGCACTTCACGTATTTCTCAAACAGGTAAAAAAAAAATCGTGTTAGCATTCGAGAACTAACTAACCACCTGAAGAGCGTGGAATTTCAATGTAGGAGGACAAGTTTATGATGGCTCATTACATTTTTCATCCCAGAGAAATAAATTTCACTTTTTATTATCCGCAATAATATTCGACCATTTGGACAGACGCACCTAGTCACCTGTCCGTCTTAACTTTACTGCACTCTTCAAAAATGTTTGGAAACAAATGCGGCATAATACATTTATCTAACTAAATCCTTTTACGTAGAATACCTCCCTAAGTCGATTATTTTCAAGTCCCCATGTGTATTCCCTTAGAAACAATGCATTAAAAACCTCTAGCTCAAGGGCTTTTCCTCTCAGACCTCCACTCGAATTTTCTGAGGCCTTTTGGCTATTATTTTCTTGACATACGAAAGAGAAAAGCAGTAAAAAAGTAACTTGATACGTTTTGGAAGGACGTGAAAGAGTAATCGGACAAATGAACACTTGCCTACAAGTTCAGCATCCTTTCAACCCATCTAAAAATAAATTAAGGCCCAGAATATCACCAATTCAAGTTTCAAGTAATTCTTCTTTTTTCCCACAACAAAAATGCTTGTTTCCCAGCTCAGAACTTTCTTAATGCAAATAATTTAGCTGATCCCGTGAAATTCATTATGAAAACGTTCGACTCGATATACTACGTGTATACAGCATTTATTGTACTAACTGTGCTGTAGTAGTCATGGGGTGAAGCCTAATTAGGATGGAATATTCAAATGGTATTTTTCGAAATGGTATAGCTTCATCGCGAGAAAGGTTGCCTCGGCGTACGTCATTCAACACTTTCGAGAAACATCGTAATACTTGTCGAAGGAGCGCCGAAAAGTATGAAGTGAGAAGGCTCAGCGGATCCGCTCTAGAACTCCGAGATACATCTCAGAATTGCTTTACTTCGTTGCATAAATTTACTTTTTATTGCGTTACTAGATTGAATTTCGGATACACGAGGAGATGGAGGAGAGATTTTTGATAGATGCACCGGGGACGCAGCTTCCGAGTCCGCGGCGAAAAACCACCAGAACCGCGGGAACGTGGTGCAGCGCTCTGACCCGTGCCTGCGTCAGGGGCCCTCCCACACTCCGAGGCGGAGGACGGCTGCGGAAAACACCGGGTACATATTGAGCAGAAGAGAAAGAAAAAAAAATAGCTGGGAAAAAAGTGGAACTATGCTGCTCCGGATGTGGCTTGCGGGCGATGAGAGAAAGAGAGAAAAAAAAAGACTTTTCCGTGCACATGTGGTTCTCATCTGTTGCTAACTGCTGTCAAGTGTCGCGAACTGTGGCTCCATCGTGGCATCGATTTTGCGGACTCGAGTGACGTCGGCTTCCCCGAAGTCGTTTGTTCTGGAGCGGAGATTGATAAATACTGCGGCGTCAGCCTTCGTTCCGAGTCAGTGCACTAAACGGTGATGATACATTTTCTCCCTTTTCATCAATTCTTTCGTAAAAAAAAACGGTATTCACTTGAAAAATAGACACCAGAAGTCACGCGATTACTCTTTATTCTTGCGCTCAAAAATGTTCCCTGCAATGGATTGATGCATCAAGAGTCCGTTGATTCAATTCATCATGCGTCAATTTCACGCCTAATCTTCATGAAAACTGTACTTTCGTCAGGAATCAGGTCAGGAATGCTGTAATGCTGAACTGAAGATTATAAAGAGGATTTTCAGAATGGGATTTTGAATTTAATTTTAGAAGCTGAATTTAATTTTTACATTTTGTTTACATGTCAATCGAGTTATTCCATCAAATGTTAGAGGTCGCCGTGCATTACCACCATGTTTTTTTTTTGCCAGTTATTGCGAGAAAGTACGTTTAAGGTATGGTAGTAAATATGGTAAGTGCACTTTTCATCGTCAATGAAAATTTAGAAACCCGGCTAGAGGGTAAAAAAAGGAATGATTCATTCATTTTCTAGAACAGTATTTCCAGACTTTTTGTTGTTGCTTTAGGAGCCGTTTTAAAATCAATTTCTTCATCGAAAACCTTTTTTAAATAATTTTGTTGTTGAAGTTCTTTTAATTAAGATATGTTATCTGCCTTCATTTTAATTTAATTTGAGTTACAGGTATCAAAGTCCTCGCCTAATCTTTGCGGTTGGTATTTCTTGATCTGCTATTTCGTTCAAAGTTTCTGAGCTGAATTTCTCTTACGGAGTCCAACCTGAAAAAAGATGTGTTTCCGTTCATATGAAAATTAATTATTTCGAATTTTCGCTTTAAATTGAAAAAGTTCAGATTTATCATGGCTGCTGTACGTGCGTGCTTAATTCGTGCTAAAATTTTTATTTTTCATGGTCTACTGCTGTTCGTGTTTGTCTGTGAAGAATTTATTGTTTTCATTACTCCGAACATATGTATCATTAAAATTATTACCTCAGACCGCGATATGCAATATCGCTGTGTTCTTGTTAAGGCATAGTGAATCGATCGTGAAATTCATTTCATCAGTCACTCCATTGCACAACTTCTACCATGATGATCCGAATTTTATGCATTTACGCGATTATAAGTCGCACGCTTTTTTACGCAAAGAATTACTGAGGAGAAAGTTTCATGGGCTGAAACAAATGGAAGAATGCTTTGACCAATATACTGTGTCATAGAAAATAAAACCTGCAAAGTTTCTTAGAGGTTTTCAAGGGAGAGAATACCTTGCAAGACAGTTCTCAAAATCTAATTCATCCACTATATGCATTACACAGGCTCTATTTTCAATCTATCGTATAATTATGAACCTTATGGTACTTCTCGAGCATAAAAGCCACATTTGCGTTTTTCATGACATTTTTGTGGGTGAAAATAAGCGTCCTATGATTGCAAACATCCAGGACAAAGTTAAAATCCCCTAATCGATGTACCGTGTCCTGAAATGCATTCTACAGTCGCATGCATTCCTAAAGATATGCTCGGCTGGTTCTAAGCAAAATCAGTTTCAACTTCGGCAAGAAAAGGCAAAGAAAGTATATATACATTTTATCAAGCATACTGATTGTTGTCACTTGGAAATTGTGAGGTTTTAAGAGACAAGAGCCTTTCAGGTGAAACACGAATAACGGCTGCGATTACAGGTGGACTCTCTGCAACAAATAGCTGAGGACCAAAAAAAAAAATCTCTGTAGAAATTCGCTGCATACATCAGTCCCTATTATATAGGAATGTATTACATTACTTAAGCAATCCTTAAAAAAATGTTTGTGATGCCTATTTTGTATGTAAAAATGCCTCTTCATTGAAATTAAGTCAATGTATACAGTATTTTCA